ATCTAAAACATGCAGGACTGTGGCCCTCGAGGACCGCAGTTCGACACCCCTGCTCTTGAACAAGCTCCCTTTACTCTCAGAAAAGGTCAGTCAGTGCGTCAGTTTAAAAACCTTTTAGAAACTCACCTGTACAGGCAGGCATTTGTGTAGTATTTTCTTTCTTTAAAAAAAAGTCTTCATATTGCCTCTTAATAGCGTTTTGCTGTCTTTTAAAAATTTATTTCTTTCCTTTTAATCTTTTGTGAAGTACATCAAGTTTTGAAATTTGCAATAGCTATTCTTTTTTTTGCTGTTCATTATTTTTTAATGGAAAATTTGGTCATTTTTTTTTAGCCTGTATCGGTTCCAATAAGAGTAGCCTGTAACAATGAACTTGTAGTATTTTGTAAACCTTCTCCTTCCTTTTCTCTGCTGTTTTTTATATTACAGACAGTATTTTTTTGTGTTTATGTAATTTATCTTGTTTAGATTTTATATTTTGCTGCTTTATGTGCCTTACTGTGGAGCACTTTGCTTTTGAAAGGCGCTACACAAATATAAGTACTCACACTATTTATATTTGTAGTTTTTTTCCCCCCCGCTTTCATATTCTCGCGATAAATCATCAATTAAGCTTTTTAAGAGCGAGAACTGCGCCAATTGTACGGCATCTCCATGGCAACCGCGGTGTTGTCGAGGCAATCGGTTGCTTGACAACACTTGTTGAGGGAAGGCTCTGCTGGTGGTAGCCGCCAAGTTAGCATGTGCTAATGCTTACGAAATAAGTTTGTCTTTTTAAAAAAAATAAATATAATGTGGGACACATGAGAGCGAGGTAAGTGGCCGTCTGACGCTAATAAGTTGATGCTAGCAGTTGTTAAGGGAAGAAGCTAATCGGAGTGTTAGCAACAGGTAGCCGGGATTCATGAGCTACAGACGGTAGAGGGGCGATAACTTACCAAGACGGGATTTAAGTTGCTAAATTCCTACACAAATACCAGAAGGCATGTCCTGTGCTGTGAGGTCCATCACTACACCTGACTGAACTGTTGTGTCAAAGCTAACCAGCTGAAGCAGTTCCATCAGTTGGTGGCGTTTTCTGTGGAACAGGGAGGCAGCTGAAGATGCCCGTGAGAGACTCCACCTTCAGCAACTCACATGTGAGTCTGGTTAAAATGGTTAAAATTCATCCAGAATTCACACCATCCTTGTACACACAGTCCTTCTCTCGAGCTATTTTCTATTTTTTTTATTCTCCAAGATGGAGTGATGCAGTGTTGGAGCATTGGAGTCCTTCACTCAAGTAAAACTACCAAAAAATTTAAACTATAACAAAAACCTGCCGAAGTAAATGACATATTATTAGCAAAAGGTACTAAACTATCAAAAGTAAAATTCTGCAGTAAAACATCCCGTGAAGCTCAAATCTATGTTTTTCTGTATTTCCGGTCATGTTATGCATATTATTTAATTGTGGTGATTTTCTTGTACTTTCTTTCTATATTTTTTGGATGCTGCTGTTTACAATAATTTGCCAGGTCTGGGATAAATAAAGTGTATTCTTTCCTATTCTTTCTTTGATTTTGCTGTAAAATTTTGGATAATTGCAGCTATTTAAACGTGGCCTGTTTAGAGGGTAAATCACCGTGTGTGGACAGTCGGAAACCACTGATTTAATCTAAAGCAATATGATGTATTCCATGAGTTTGTGTGTTTTTATGTATAATTTTAATTGTTAAATCTGACTTTAGCAAGTACCTAGTGGTAAAATAAATGTAGTAAAGTTAAAAGTACAGTAATGCCCTCTGGAATGAGAAGAAGTGGAAGTTTAAAGTAGCATGAAATGGAAATAATCAGGTGTGGTGCAAGTACCTCAAAACTGAAGTAATGTACTCATCATTTTCCACCACCGGATATCGGAAATATATGATCAAAAAAAAAAAAATCAGTGCAACATTTGTCTGTTTATTAATTTATGGTGTTTTATATTCGACTATTTTGAAATCAGCAACAGACAGAAACAATTCCCATAAAGAGGTTAACGCAAGTAAAGAATATTAGCTGCTTTTAAAAGAATATTGATTGGAAAAATAAAAAAAGATATTTTGTGGGAAACACCAGATAAAATCATTGGCTTAAAATATACACATTAATTCATGATGGTAATATTTTTTATTTTTATTATTCTGATAAAAAACGTAGGTTTGTACAATGACCAAGTCAATACATTTTATATTTCATTTGGTAAACAGGATACAACAGTGATGACTTCTGTTTTCCCTATCAGGCAGCAAAATCATCAGCCATGGCTATCTCCGCTGTCATGAACTGGTGGAATACTTACCAGCTAGACAAACTGGACAGCAACGACTCCAACACAGAGGAAGACGAGGACGAATTAGCAGGGAGGACACAGTGTAAGCCATTTTCAGCCTAACCATTGAGTTCTAAATTGTTTAAATAACTGTGAGACGCAAATAGAACTGGTTTTGAGAAGAAATCTTGTTCAGCTCATCTTAATTTTGGATCATTAACTGTCAAACGAGAGCTCTTCTGTGAATGAGATAATTGAACCTATCAGGTGCAGCGTAATCCCTTTTATCTTGTTTGGCCTGGGCAAGGCAAAGGAGGAGACCTACTGAAATATGTATATCCAGAGTGACTGAACAAGAGCATTAAAGTGCAGTTATTAAAGGTGTGATTCATGTCCCCCTCAGTATCTCTGAAGCTAAGCCAGACACTGCGGACCAGGCAGGTGCTCATAAACTTTGAGGGTGGCCGACGTGTTTTGAGTCTGCGGGCGCCGCCGGACCTGGTAAACTTCCCGTCTGTCTCCCGCCCCCGCTGGCCCATAGAGTGTGAGGTCATCAGCGACATTATACAACACATAGGTAATGTTTCATTTTATTATGTGACCAGGTTTGTTACCGACATTAAGCACGGGGATCAGTCAAAGCAGTGAGTCGAGTTTGTGAAGAACCGAGCAGCTTCTTTCAAAACATACGCAGCCTCAGAATGTTGCTGCTGTTTCATGACACTGAGAGAGTGTGTTTTGCAGAGTGGGACCCCCCAGAGCCAGAGCCTTTCTATCAGCACACAGGGCATGAGAGGACACCGATGCCGGTTGGAGAGGAGAGGGGGAAGCTGGTGTACTGCATTGACCATGGTAACTAACAGCATTTCTTACACCACCAAGTATAAGGCTGGTGATAGCAAGAAAGTCTTCTTAACATAAGATAGGGATGGGAACCTTTATGTCACTGGTTCACCTCAAAGAATTTACCATCTGTTTGACCTCAAGACCATCTTACAGCAGAAATGTGTTTATTTTTTTTCTTTATGCATCAGAATGTTGAGATTATATGTGTAGTCTGTGCTAACAAATGTAGAATTTCATACTCACCTTTTCCTTTAAGCCACTAAGCGTCCCTACTTCACCTGCTCTCGTGTTGGAGGAAGCAAGGGCCCCGTTGAAAGCGCCACTTGTCATGGCGTCAATCAGACGGAGTTCACCCTGGAGTTTGAGTCACGCTTTGAAAGTGGGAACCTTCAGAAGGCCGTTCAAGTGTGAGTCTACGTTCTAATCTGTTGTTGTTGCAACTTTTAGTCTATTATATTCCCAGTCTTGTTAGTGTTTTACTGCGGCTCTGTGTTAAGTTTCTCTCTCTCTAATTGCCTATTCAGGGGCGTCTACGACTACGAGCTCACCCTGCGCACAGACATGTACACCGGAAAGCACACGCAGTGGTTTTACTTCAGGGTCCGGAACATGAAGGCTGGCGTCACCTACCGCTTCACTATCATCAACTTGATGAAGAGCAGCAGTCTGTATTCTCACGGTATGAGACCGCTCCTCTACTCTGAGAGGGCAGCTGAGGAGAGCAGCGTTGGATGGCAGCGCTCAGGCTCAAATATCAGATACTATCGGAACTGCTGTCAGGTAGGTGGCATCTGGGTCAGCTTCAGTCACTCTAATTTATGAGCCCACTCCCTCATTTTGCAGCAGCTATCACTTTCGATTTATGAGTCTGAAAGTTAACTTTCTCAGCAGATTGCAGAGGTGATCCATCACAGAGAGAAGGTTTTGTTTTTACTCTGTTGTACTGCAGGTAGAGTGAACACCACTGGAATATCATGTATTAGTTTCACTATTTATAATGATGATATCACTGCTCCTACTTCAGAAAAAGTAGAATTTTGTAACCATCATACATTAAATGTTCCACAAACTGGGTGAAGACAGCATTCAGGAGGTAACACTGCATTGTCCTTCAGCACTAAGTGAAAGAAAGCCTGTGGTGTCATTTAGTAAACGACCGGCAGTAAATTATATGCAACAAATGTAATAGGGAAATGAAAATATGCAGAAATCTTTGCATCCATAATTTAAAGCTTTTTAGAACTGCATGATTTCACAAGATTGAAATTATACTTGTAAGATTTGTCTCCCTTCAGAACACCAAGGACAAAAACAGTGACGCCGTCGCCTTGTACTCGCTCTCCTGGACTCTCCAGTTCCCTCACGACTCCGACACCTGCTACCTGGCCCACTGCTACCCCTACACCTATTCACGCCTGCAGCGCTACCTGAGGCACATTTCCTCCAACCCAGCAGTTGCATCGTACTGTAAAGTGCGGGTCCTGTGCCACAGCCTCGCTGGGAATGCAGTGTATGTGGTGACAGTCACGTCCCCGGGTGTCAGCAGGGTGGAGGGCAGGACCAAGAAGGCTGTGGTGGTGACGGCCCGAGTGCACCCTGGGGAGACCAACGGGTCCTGGATGATGGAGGGATTCCTGGACTTTCTGCTTGGAGACTCAGATGATGCTCAGCTACTCAGGGACACTTTTGTTTTTAAGGTGCTTTTTCTGCCTTAATATGTCCATCATTACTGAAGTAACGTGGCTTCACTGTCTTGTGTATGTGAATGGATTAAATGATACAATCCGTCTTTCAGGACTCTACGGCGCTATGTTGTAAAATGTTGCCTCCAAACTCTTTTTTTTTAAATATAATTTGGACTTGGGGTGATTCCTGCTTTATCATTGTGGTTCTGACAGCTTTATCTATCTGTTGTCTTCCCTCTGTGGGGCTGCAGGTGGTGCCCATGCTGAACCCAGATGGCGTGGTGGTGGGCAACTACCGCTGCTCTCTGGCAGGCCGAGACCTCAACAGATACTACAAGACACTGCTCAGGGATTCCTTTCCTTGTGTGTGGTACACCCGAAACATGGTGGAGAGGTGAGACCGCACACATGCACTGACAAACACAAAAAGCAAACTGCATGGAGCTTCAACCACAAGAACATTATTATAGTCTGTTTAGAGCTGCTTTAACAACATTGAGCTTATTCCAGTGTGGATTGCCTTTCATCTTTCACCTTTTACATCCTAAACGTTGCCCATGCAATATTTGCTTGCATCATTTTTCTCCTTAATTTTATCGTGAGGAATTTTGACCACACTTTCTACTAAATGGTACTCTGTGGTTCTGTTCTCCTCAGACTAATGGCTGAAATAGATGTAGTTCTTTACTGTGACTTTCACGGCCACAACCGTAAAAACAACGTCTTCATGTACGGTTGCAACAACCGAGGCGATGCTTCGCTCAAGCTTCACGAGAGAGTCTTTCCACTGATGATGAGCAAGAATGCCAGTAACAAGGTAAAGTAACTCTAGGGCTTCCAAACATCTTGGCTCACTTTCCACTTTAAATACTTCTGCTGCTGTTAAGCTTGAAAAGCTGCAGTTGACTTCTTATTTAAAAGTCTGTTTTCATATTTGCCGCCTGTCAGCGCTGGTGTCATTTGTGCACTCAACGTTTCAGCTACGTGTCAGTGTGAAGACTCAGTCATGAAGGCACTTGCTTGGGTTTGCTGAAGATTCCCCTCTCAGTCAAAAGATTACTTTAGTTTTGAGCTGAAAAAGCTTTTCAGATTAGAAGAGAAACTTCTTCAGCAAACTCAAACAAGTCCAATTGCATCATTTTAACACTCAGAAACATTCCAGCTACAACATCTGAATCACGCTCTTCCTTAGTTCTCCTTCAAGAGCTGTAAATTCCGGGTGCAGAAGAGCAAAGAAGGCACCGGGCGAATCGTCATGTGGAGACTTGGCATCAAAAACAGCTACACCATGGAGGCCACCTTTGGAGGTTCCACTCTAGGTGAGTGTGGACTGACTCAGTGTGTGCTCATATTTGTAAGCTTCCGTGTGTCTCTGAGGATCTATCATGTGTTTGTGTGTCAGGCGACAGGAGGGGGACACATTTTACGACTCGAGACCTGAAGTCCCTGGGCTTTTACTTTTGCGACACCCTGCTGGACTACTGTGATCCTGATCCAGCGAAGGTGAGAAATAAATCAATGTGACGGCACTTTATATAGAAACATAGAATATGTTAGTGGAGTGCTGTCTCAATCCAGGAAAAGGAAAGATTTGGGCCAAAAAAGTATATCTGGATGGTTTCTAAGTCCTGAATTCTGCAACAGTTTTTCATGCTTCTTCTTTGGTTTTTATTTCAGGCTGCTTACTGTCTGACAGAGCTGGCAGCTTTGTTAAGAAAGGAAGTCAGAGACAGACTGGGCAAAGACGTGAGCACCGACTGTAACTTCTCTGTGTCCGACCTAGAAACCAGGTGATGCAGTAATTATAAATTTATTTAATTAACCCACACACGCACCACACTTGAGCAAAATGAGACTGATACGAAACATGCTCTCATTAGGCTCCACGTGAATATTTCTCATTTGCTTTCACAGCACAAGTGGTTCAAACAGCTCTGACTCAGACGGACTCCCGGTTCATTTACTGAAGCAGCCACAAACTGGCCATCCAGAGGTATTCTGACATAAATCTGACCTCGTGTTGTATTTTCTTGGTAGGGTAAATTGTAAAAATCAGTTTTTAGATCTTGTCTTCCTTCCTCTCAGTTCACCACGTGCTCCTGTTCTCCTCCACAGCAAACTCCGGTGAAGAAGAAAAAGAAACGCTTGAGGAGACGTAAAGAAAGAAACAGGCTGCAACCGGACAGAGTGAAGAACAGCACACAGCCGAAGATCCCGCAAAGCAGCGTCAAAAATAATGTAAATGTAGCCTGATTTAACAGGCGGCCTGATTTAACAGGCGGCATTTCTAACATTAAACATTAAAACAAGACTGATGACTGAATGGTGTTTGCAGGAGTCCAACCTGCCTCATGATAGCACAGTTAAACAGAGACCTGCTGGGAGACACAGGAAGAAATGGCAGGTATGAAGCTGAGTTTAAGCACCTTTAGGAGTCACATCCAACCAGATGAAGAAGGGAGATTTCCTCTGGGCTTTATTGTAGTGTTTCTCTCACTGTGAAGGTACATGGTCTGATCAGAAAAGCTGCCATCCCTCCTCCCACCAGTCACTCTGAGGAGGTCAGCCAGGTGACACTGTGGCAGGGCTGCGAGCCCGTCAAGGTAGAGAAACCTCACATGATCCCAATTAAAGTCTCTTAGAAAATCACTTCAGTCACCCTCCTGTTTACACATTCTAGGTCAGTCATAAGCATGCGTGTACATTTCCAATTCAGCTCAGCTTTAATTGATAAGAAGCCTCAGATTTCAAACTTGCGATACTTTAAGCAACAGAATATAATCTGTAATTCTGAATTCTGATTTAGAATGTTTTCTGAAGTATATTTTCTGTGTTTCAGGACATCTTTTCAGACCACCAGAGATCCTCATTCCTGCACCACAGGACTAAAGCATGTCCACGTCTCAGCCCATGCACAGCCCTGTCACCTCACACAGGTAAGCTTTGTTGTTCTCAGTCTGCAAATTAATGCAAAACTATTCGGAAGCATCACAGCATTACAGAAGGTCCTCTGTGGCAGTGAACAGTATGAGCGGTTTACTTCACAGGCGACCTGTTCATGCACACCAGACAGTGGAGATGCTCCTCTCAGCTGCTGCACCTCAGCGCTCTCCTTCCGCCTTCACCCAGTTTCATACATTCCAGCCAGCAACAGCATAACTGCATCCAACAATCTCACACCTCCTATAAAGTCTACAGAGGTTTGTCTGCATGCATCAAGGTTCCAAATGGAACCCAATCAGTGACAAAAAGTCCAAAACTGAATCATCACTCATTCCTCTGTGATGAAACTCATCTCTCTCTTTCAGGGCTGCCATCGTCCCTCACAGCGCCGCACAGGTAAACCCCACAGTGAAACGACATCCTCAGGACATCTGCATCTGTCCTTACAGTGATAATAACAGTCTATTTTGTGACTGCACGTCTCAAGGACACATAATTAAAACATCAGCAAGATAAAACTGATTTTCACATTAAACATATGGCACACACACACCATTTATTTGCTGTTTTTCTTCTTTTTTTGTTTTATTTTTCCTCTTTTTGACATTCTGTTGCTATTTTATCTTATTCAATTTCTTTATTCTGCTTATTTATTTTTTTATTATTTTAAAAGACACCTTCATTGATGCTTTGGCAGTATTGCTAACCTGATATTCATGCCAATAAAGCAGTTGACAGCACACACCTATAAGCTCAGTATGTTCAGATTCGGAGGTGTTTGTGTCTCTTCTGTGGCAGGTCTCCCTCCTCCATGTTTGTCAAGAAGATGCCAGACATCGTTCCAACAAAACGCCTGCTGTCTAGTTTGACCACCAACAAGTTTAGCGGCCGGCACACCTTCAGAGACGGAGCTTCTCTACGTTTCTCAGAAAATCCCTTTGTGTCCAAAGATTCCTCCAAATTTAAACAGGAAGAGGATTCCTCAGAAGGTTCATAAGCGAATTTAAATGATCTTTAATTAAGTTTCAAGAGAAATGCATTTTTCTTGTTTAAGAAGAAGAATACATTTTTTTATTCATTTATCACTGCTGGCTAACTTTTCTTCTTCCTCTTAATGGTCTGATTGATTCAGTGGATTTGTCACTGCTGAGATGTAAACCATTTGGAGAGCAGAACCAGAGAGATTTCACCCTCCATGAAACGGAATCAAACAGCAATCTATTTGTGCCTGTGCTGAGGGACCTGAGAGAGAAAAGGTCATTTCACCTTTAATCCTTCCACACTTTCTCTTTGTTATTCTCCATCTCTGGTAAATGCTGAGGTTTCATCAAACATCAGTTTCATAAATGCTGTGCAGTGATGAAAAGACAAGCCTTGTACGTTTAACCTATTTTGTTTTCTTATGGTATTTCCTCAGGCTACACAAGGACGCTTTGGAAGACAAAAGAAAAGATACCAGACATCATCAGTTTGGAGGAGAAAGCCAAACAAGTAAAGCTCCACAAGAGGAGATGGTCAGAAGAGCATCGCAGTCTGCTCCATCGTAGAGCACAGCAGCTTTTATATTCTGCTAACGACAGACTGGGTCTCTGTTCTTTGGCCAGTGACGTAAAGCTTTTTGGTGGATAAAGAAGTTCCACAGATGCGTTACACAGCAGATATGTGGGGATACTATTACTGTTTTTACATCATTCACACAGATAACAACACAACTGGATGCTTCTTATGGACAGTTATAGCAAAAGCTTCAAAAACGTGTCAAATGGAGAGACTGAATTTCTTCATATGTCTCTTTTAAATTGATTTCTGGTCATAAATAATGTGACAAATGTTCTGATAGTGATATTTTTCATAATGTTAATGACAATGCTGGGGTTTTTTTCTGCAGAGTTTTTAAAATTGGTAGAGATTTAGTGGTGACAAACCTTCATGCTCGTATTCTCTGAGGACTCAAAGTCAAGGGTACAATAAATCAGCTGTTTAATAAATCACACACAGGCTGCATGTCATGGAGATGTTATTTACTGCAAAGCTACAAGAATACAAACCGACTGGAGGTGAATAAAATACAAAAAAAAATACGTTAAAAATGTTTCTCTTAAGTAATCAACTGTGAGGAGGAACGATCTCATGTTCTACACACAGTACTAAACATGACACCTTCCGTTGTGAGCCTCTGAGCCTGGTAGGAGCGAAGTAAGAAGGCACGCTGGTGTATCCAGATGTGGACGTCAGAGCTTCAGAATTCAATCAAACTGTCGGAGATGGAATTGGCTTTCTGTGTGTCTGACCATGTCCCGGAGCGCCACAAAGCCAGAGAGGGCCTGAATCATTCAGGAAAAAAACAAACACAATAAATCTGAGCAAATTTAGAAAACATGCACATCAGTCAGGTGTTAAGGGGAACGCGACAGTACCTGTGTGAGTATGAAGATAGCGAGAACTATGTGAACACCTCTCTCCAAGGGTTGGATGAGGATGGCTTCATTAAACAGCTGAAACAGGATGAGTGGGAACTGCAGCAGGATGCTCAGCAGCCAAAATCCAGCCAGCTCTGGCACCTTCCACAAACACAGACATTACATTCATTTCAATCTCTGCCTTAAAACTTTCTGGGTTTCTACATCATCTAGATCCTTATGTTTGTCTGAGTGATGTGCCACCTTTTCCTGCAGGTTCCCGGCGTAGCCAAGATAGAGTCTAATGGCCTCGATCAGCGTCATCAGAAGAAGTACAGTTACAAGGATGAACTTGTAGTAGTCTGGCAAGGCAGGATACTGAAATGACAATCACAACAAAGCAGTTTAAAGAACAGGGGTTTGTGGAATAAAAAGAAATAAATTATGTATAGAAAATCAGCCACAACCTTAAAACCACCTTCCCTAATATTCACTTATCTAATAAAAGGTTCCTATCCTGCTGCCAAATCAGCGCTGACCAGTTGGGACATAAAGACAGGACCTGTGGGGGCATCCTGTGTTGTCTGACATGCCTCTGGAGATCACATTGAGATCTGGATCCAGCTCTACACCTTGGGCTCTATGTGGTGTTCCTTGAGCCGTATCTGAGCAGTTTCTGTGGCAGGGCACATTGCACCGCTGAGGGAGGCCACAGGGGGAGTGTGCTTGGTCTGCAATGATGTTTAGGTGGGTGGTTTGTCTCTAAGTAACATCCACATGAATGCCAGACCCCAAGGTTTTCAAGGAGAGCAACGTATTGTAACGAGAGGATCAATGTTCATGTTCCAGAGCCGCTGCAGGAGCAGGACACTGAACATTGTCAGGGACTCCTCACACGCTCTCCATGAACTGTTTGAACTGCTGCCATCAGGCAAACGTCTCCAGAGCATTAAAGGAAGAACCTCCAGACTGATCAACAGCTTCATGCCACAAGCTGCCAGAATGCTGAACTGCTGATCCAGATATGCAAACACGTGTTTATTTAAATTGCTTTAAGTTACTGGATCCAGAAGAAAGACTCTCTCATCTTGCCTGTACTACTGTGCATGTACAGCGACATGACAATAAACTTGATCTGATTTTTAAAATTTCTACGAGTGAAAAGTAAAAATTCCCTCTCATATTTCTAGATCTGTGAAAATAACTGCAATATCATTTTCTTTTTTAAAAACACTATATTTTGTTATGTCCTAAAGTCAACTTTTGTACCAACCACAATGGTGAGGCACTCTGAAGTGTCTGGTAGGCACCAAATCTGTTTCAGAAGCAGTTGAGGAATTGCTTCATCACATCCTTGTACATTTTACCATTACTACTGCTCCTATTCACAGACACTATTTCGGTAGTAAATACATGGTTAGTAGGATTTCATGCTCGTTCTTCTCTTTCACTCACCTCCTGTCTAACTTCCCCTCTTCGTGTCTTACCTTCAGGTGCAGCATTACAGTTTCGCTGATCCACCACCAGGGGAAGAACCACATGTTAAAGTACAGAGACATCTGGAGCTGGAGACTTGACAGAACCCGTTTGTCTGAAAACATAAAAAACAGCAGAACATACGGTGATGGGCTGAACAACCGAAACCCAGCTACAGCTACCACCAAGCTCAGCTCGACAGAAAGATGGTGCACAAGACACAATCCTTCATGTTGCTGCATCAATGCTAACATCAATGCTAACGTCAGTGCTAACGTCAGTGCTAACGTCAGTGCTAACGTTAGCTGCATTTCGGGTTTACCGTGAGGCAAAAACGCGTCGTGGTCTTTTGAGTACGCTCCAGTTCGACTCTGGTCAAATAAAACATTGCGAGAGAAGTCCTCTAAACGTTTTCTGATAGGGTCCGGCAGCTCCATCGTGCAAAATGCTCTCTGCTATGCAGAAACATGACCAGAACAACAACACTCCTCCTCTTCCTCACTGAACGCTGCCGTCGTTTCCATGGATACCAAGGAAATCTCGCGTTCCGCTCAAATCTCGCTTGAAAAGTTATTGACAACTGCTCACATAAAACACAAGAAGTTCATTATTTTCACCTCTAAACACTCACTACGGTGCTAAATAATCAGATTTAAATGCCCAGAAGTAAATTTATTGTTTCACGGTTTTAATAACAAAATAAAAATTAAAAATCTAACAAAAAAAATTAAAAAATCAGTGGTCTTTCAGCAGCTCTGTCAGATTTATCTGTGGGAAACAGTGACTTTCAGGAGGCTGTTGGCACAATTAAAGATTAAGTCACGCCCACTTTCAACAGTTCTGTTTTCTGAGAAAGTGAAAGTTACAGAGGACAAGATGGCAGAGGCCTGTGAAGCACCAGATTCCTTATCCTGCTCCATATGCTTGGATGTGTTGAAGAAGCCTGTGACTCTCCACTGTGGCCACAGCTACTGTAAGGACTGTGTGAACGGCTACTGGGACCAGGAGGAGCAGACCGGGGTGTACAGCTGCCCCCAGTGCAGACAACTCTTTACTCCAAGACCTCTGCTGAGCAAGAGCACAGTGCTGGCTGATCTGATGGTAAAAATGTCTGTGGCAGGACAGCCCACCCCTCCTGTGAAGGATGAAGGGGATGTGGAGTGTGATTTCTGCACCGTGAGGAAGCTCAAAGCTGTCAAGTCTTGCCTGGTGTGTTTGGCCTCTTACTGTGCCACCCACTTGCAGCCTCACTATGAGTCTGCCGCTTTCAAAAGGCACAAGCTGGTGGAAGTGTCAGCCTCCATACAGGAGAAGATCTGCTCCAAGCACGACAAGCTGCTCGAAGTCTATTGTCGCAGTGATGACCAGTGCATTTGTCTGCTGTGCGTGATGGATGAGCACAAAGGCCATGACACTGTCTCGGCTGCAGCAGAGAGGAAAGAGAAACAAGTAGGAACATTTATTTTTGGCCACAGTTATCAGAGTTACTGTGAAAATCAATGTGAAACCTACATTTTAATTGGATCCAGAGACAAGATACTTTACATGTCATGCTTGATTTCTGTATGTATGTTTTTAGAAACACTTTGGAAAGAAAAAGCAAAAATATCAGCAAGCAACGCAAGAAAAAGAGAAGCAGCTGCGGCAGATGAAACAGAAAATGAAAGCCCTGCAGGTAAATTGTCTTCTTTTAGTTGACATGAATGTGTGAAGATGAAGTAACCAACAGTCCTCTTTATTATTCTTCTGTCAGTATTCTAGAGATGAAGCATTCGATGAAAACGAGAAGGCCTACGCTGAAATAGTCCTGATGGCAGACAAAAGGCGTTGTGCCATGAAGGAGCTGATTAGAGATCAGGAGAAGGCCGTGACGAGCCGAGCTGAGGCCCTCGTGGACCGGCTGGAGACGGAGATCGCTGATCTGAGGAAGGGGGAGGATGAGCTGAAGCAGCTGTCGCTCACTGAGGATCACATTCACTTCTTGCAGGTAAACTGGCAGATAAATACGCAGCTTATGTAGAGCGTGGGGCTGTAGTTGATGTTGTGTTTCTCTTTTTACGTGTCTCTAGCGCTACCAGAGCATTTTTGGCCGCACAGGACCTGACGTGTCCTCTGATTACAACATCCAGCTGCACACATCTTTTGACTTTGTGGCAAAGGCTGTTTCTGACTTGAGAGACAAAATGGAAACTATGGCGAAAGCTTTTGCAGAGATATCTAAGACAAGTAAGATGATCGCTTCATTAAAATAATGCATGTTTGTGTATTGGATGAGATGTAAAGAGTTGATATGGACGTGTTCTCTGTTTCTAGTTGAAGTCGATTCCGATCCAAAGACCAGACAGGAGTTTTCCATCTGTGAGCTTTTGGTTTAACTTACATATAAATCAGCCCTTGAGTTTTACTTTCAGTGTTCTTCAGTGGTGATATTTTCTGACCTTTCAGATTTCCGCTGCCTCCGTTTGGATCCCAACACGGCATTTGAGAACCTGTTGCTCTCTGAGGGGAACAGCAAGGTGACCTGGATTAAAAAAGCCCAGAAGCAGCCGTGCCACCCAGAGAGATTCACCAAATACGATCAAGTGTTGTGCACCGAGGGTTTGTCTGGCGTCAGCTACTGGGAGGTCGAATGGAAAGGGTCCAGGGTCGAGGTGGCCGTGTGCTATAAAGGAAAGGAGCTGGATGAAAGTGGCTTTGGATTCAGTAACCAGTCTTGGTGCATTTCCCTTTCAAATTCTCTTTGCACCTTTTGGCACAACGGAGTCTCGACCAAAATATCCGTCCTCAGTTCTCCGACTGTGGGAGTGTATCTGAACCACAAGGCAGGGAGCCTGTCCTTCTACAGCGTGGTGCCAGATTCTGGTCAAATGAAGCTGCTTCACAGAGTAAAGACCACGTTCTCACAGCCGCTGTACCCCGGGTTCATGGTCTCCAAGGGAGCCTCAGTTAGGCTAGTGAAACCAAAGCAAAGCGCATCAGCTGTTGAAGGAAACCCTCAGTGATGCATTCAGTTTTCTTTCTTTGTCTGTGCGTGATGTTGAGCTCACGCTGAAAGCGCTGTCTGCAGATTTGCAGTTACAGCTTGGTTGCATCCTAAAAAATATTCTTTTTTTCCCCTTTCTTTTTGCAAGGTTGAAAACATAAATGTAAGCTGACAAACCTCTTATATTTTACACAAGTCAGATTTCTGTTGCATTTGCATGTTTGCTGCTGTCAGTAAGAGGTTGAGTTCCGTTAAATGTCTGTTTCTATCTACAACATATAATGCTGCAAGCACACAGAGTTCTTACACAATTGTACGCATTTAGAAAGGATGTTAATAATAGATAGCATTAACAAGTGTTTTTTTTCTCATCAATGAGTGTTGCTACAAACTTTTAGTCAGTACAGACTTAAAGATACTGAAAGCCGTGTGATTTGTTTTTACTTCTAACCGCTGTGTAATTGTATGTATTCCACAACCTTAGTTTATTGTTTATTGTATTGTGTTCTGGCAAAACAATTTCCTCCTTGATGATTAAAGTTATCTTATCATCTTTCATAAGTGTGTTTTGCTGTCAGCTGAGTTTATTCTTATTTTTTCTACAGTTTAATGGCACCAAAGAATTAATTTTTTAAAACCCTTTACACTGTTCTGTTAATGCATTCTGTCGCTCGTGCAATGTGCTGAAATGAAATCTGCAAATCTGCCAGATTTCTTTGACCACTAGGTGGCAGCCCAACAAGCTGTTATCACAAGTTAAAGGGTTGCAAACACTCCCTAATGCACACTTTGACACTTTTTTTTCCACTCACCACAATAATGTAAGTCCACTTTCCATCTAGCTCTATTTAAGGCTCCACAGCTCATCTGGATGAGATCTGGATCTGGAGCAAAGTAACTTTTCCTTCACAAACATACGACCCCCAATATGAAATATGTGAGAGGACGAGAGTGTAAAACCTTGATATGTCTGGAATGAAATGTATGTGACATGTGAGTGGTTATCCTGAAAACAAAATAGTTATTTTTACAGTTACATCTTTTAATCTAATATAACAGAGTTTGGTGACTGCTGTGTGCAGTGTGTGTGTGTGTGTGTGTGTGTGTGTGTGTGTGTGTGAGTGTGTGTGCAGTGTGTGTGTGTGTGTGTGCGTTTGCTAGTAGAATGAATGCAGACAAAGCAGAGCTAAAGTTCAGTGACACTGTGGAACCCGTTATCATGTGACTGTAGTTTTACACTCGTGTTGTTGAACGACTGTTTTGTTCCCCTTCTGAACAAATGTCAAGACTGAATCTGCTTCTTTGGCTCCAAAACTTCCACTTGCAGCGAGTGTTTAATAATGTTTTTGAGGATGTTGTTTTCCTCTTTAAGACCGGTCCGTTCCAGTTCCCTCCCACTGACAACAAGCTGCCAACAAGCCACTCCTTCAGAGAAACTGTCAGTTTGAGAAAATGGCTCACGACCAGGAACTGTTCGACTGCTCGATCTGTTTATACTTACTGGAGGATCCCGTCACCACCGCCTGTGGACACAGTTTCTGTATGAAATGCATCAATAGTTTCTGGGACACAAGAAATAACAGAAGAGGAACTTACAGCTGCCCTCAGTGCAGGCAGACCTTCAGCACCAGGCCCGTCCTGAAGAGGAGCACGGTTCTGTCCCACCTGCTGGAGGAACACAAGAGGACGACTGACCAACACGCTGCTTCTGATGGTGACAACTTTGCTGCTCCTGAAGATGTGCCGTGTGACGCCTGCACGGAGAGGAAACAAAAAGCTTCCATGTTCTGTCTGGTGTGCTTGGCCTCCTTCTGTGAGACTCATCTGCAGCCTCATTTTGAGGTGCCGCCTCTTAAAAAGCACGACCTGATTCAAGCCTCTGCGAGGGTCAAAGAGAGCATCTGTGACCGTCACCACAAACTTCTGGAGATCTTCTGCCGCACTGACCAGCAGTTCTTGTGCCTGATGTGTGCGGTGGATGAACACAAAGGCCACGACACTGTGGCCGTCTCCGCAGCAAAGTGTGAGATGCAGGTAATCCAGTTCAGCCCCACCATGAAGTCGTTCGTTTCTCGTCCTTTTATTGTGACAGATTTTCTAAAAAGTTGTTGGATTTCTGTTTTACCAGAGACAACTGGAAAAGACTGAACGGGACATTGCTGACAGGGTGCTGGTGTCAGAGAGGAACATAGCAGAGCTGAAGGATGCAGCAGACTCTATAAGAGTGAGTGAAGCATCGCCTTATCTTTATTCGTTAGTCTTTGTTTTTAAATGTTGATACAAGATCATGTCTAGTTTGGCTCAAAGCTGCACCAGAGAAGAGAGAAGGATGTGGTTTTAGCAGTGTTTCCTGTGGAGGAATTTCCCTTCAGTCTGCAGGCATCAGACAGAAACAAACCCATTCATTTGACCGTGTAAACAACAGCTTTATATTTACTGTGATGGTGCATCCAGCTCATGCAATTTCTCATTATTTGAAGGGAAACTGTGTGTGTGAATCTGAACAGAAAGAGTGTAAACTGATGGAGTCCAGAGGTTCGGTCTGTTAGTCTTGTGACCTCTTAACACACAAACCGGTTGCCAGTGTGTTAAACCAGATGTTCACGGGCGGGAATCCCCGGGGGGACTCTCATCAACGTCAGGGGAGGCTGAGTGTGTGGAAGAGAGCGAAATATTACAGTAGTTATGAGAAGAAGGTCACACAGAATAAATGAACAGGTTGTTTGGTTAGACAGATAGTTCAGAGATGCAGTAGTTTTAACGAACTTTTTACTTTCCAATCTTCCAGAGTCACAAACCAACAAATGCCTTTATTATGTCTTTAGTGTCGTGTTATGTCCTCCAGTACTATTATGTGATCAAATACTGAAGTTGTGATCTCACTGCTAACCAGGAATGAAACAAAACTGAGTGAAATAAGTGGGCTACTTTGAAAACTCCTGTGTTAATCTAAAAAAGCACGAGTCTGACATTTGAGGAAGTAGGTACACCTGTTGGTGTTATTTCCAGGTTCTAATAATAATAAGATTACAATACCATTCTCATGTGTTCATCTTTACTGTACAGATATGAGAGTAGGATCAAACTTATCATCTAATTTAGAGGAAGAACTTTTATCTTCTATCCCAAAATGTCAAATAGTTTGATTAGAGATCAGCTGAAGAACTGCAAATATTATTTTGCTGAGAATTTTGTGTGCAACCTCTATGATTTTTATTGCAACCCCTACTTTGGAATCCATTAGATTGCAAAGGTTTGACAGATGTTTAATATTTTAAAAAGTCCAGTTGTTATCACACACTGCCGAATAATTAGCAGAACTGTGTTGCTAGTTGTTACTGCGTCTCAAAATGTCATCAGTTGTACCAGACCAAATGATTTCCTTCCAGGACGCTGCCTGGCAGGCGTGCGATGACTTTGAGCGACAGAGCCTGGAGTACATCTCCGTATACACCCGCTTCGTCAAGAGGAAATGCTCTGAGATGAGAGAGAAAGTGGGAGAAGCCGAGAAAGCTGGAGTGGACCGGACCACGAGTCGCCTCAGGAAGCTGCAGCGTGAAGTGTTTGAGCTGAGGAGGAGACAGAATAAAGTGCAGCAGCTTTCACAGACGGATAATCCCGTCCAGTTTCTCCTGGTGAGGCCTTCTCACGCTTCACTTTTAATGTCTCATTCTGTGTCTAATCTGTGATGCTGAGTGTGTGAATGTTTGCGTTGTGTGTTTGTTGGCCTCTGCAGGGTTTCCAGGCCCTGGGCGACATCCCCGCGTTCACAGACTCACATGAAACCTTTGACCTGACAGAGTTTGTCGCTGCACAAAAAGATGAAATGAAAAACATGTGCGACAAAGAAAGGAACGAATTATTGTTTAATTCTGGTGAAATTATGTGTGAGTACGATCAGTTGGGATTTAAAGTCTGCTCTGGTTTTCTTGTTTGCTTTAGTGACTGTTTTTTTTTTTTCTTTTTCATCTAAGTGAAAAAACCCAGACTGCACGAGGAAATACCGTCAAGGATGAAGCTTTTGCGCAGATGTAAGATTAAATATGATGTTCAATAACTCTGCATGCATACATGAAACCTTCACCAGCTCAGTGAGTGTTTCGTCTTCCTCTGCAGACACCCAGGTGAAGGTGGATCCCTGCACAGTAGCTGCATGTCTTTGCCTGTCTGAAACAAAGACGGAGATATCGTGGAGTGGCAGCGTCCAGGCTCAACCTGATCACGCTGACAGATTCACCCACTTCTACCAGGCTCTGGGCGAAAAGGGCCTCGAGGGGGACGCCTACTGGGAGGTGGAGTGGGACGGTGGCATCGTCGAGGTGGCCGCGTCGTACAAAAGCATAAAAAGAAAAGGCTCAGGGAAGGAATGCTGCTTTGGCCACAATGATCAGTCCTGGAAATTAATCTGCTCTCCGTCTGGCTGCACGTTTTGGCACAATAATCTCCACAAAGGTCAAATAGCTCCGGTTCGCTCTCGCAGAGTTGGCGTGAGGCTCGATTACGACGCAGGAACGCTGGGTTTCTACAGCGTTACTCCCCCCGACAGGCTGACGCTGCTGCACCAAGTCCAGACCGCCTTCACCGAGCCTCTCTATCCCGGGTTTGCAGTTCATTTAGGTGCAACACTGAGAGTATGTAAGCTCTGAGCCTGTTCACAGTCATCAGCATTGTCTTCAGGATCGGCTGCACATTTAAAATAGTCATAGAAGAGAAACGAATAATATGAATCTTGATGAGGACCAAAGAAACAGACGACTGTATATTATATTCTGCCTTTTTTCTTTTTTTTAAATAATAAACTTCAAAAAGCAGAAGACAAATGTTTAACACCATTATTCATTGGTAGAGCTAATTTCTTTTGTTAATCAACAGATCCCTTTTTAATGTGCTTTTGGTGTAAGAGATGGGGGCCAGAATCCACACCGCTGTGAAACAAATGTTTTAATATATAATATGAGAATTTAATCATGTGAGTTAAATATAAATAGACATCTTCTAAATGTGCAGTATTTTTGATATAACATTATTTCTTCTAGGAATTAAATTTCTCTAAAAGCTTTAGAGGGAGATAGAAACCTGCTGGAAAAGGCTTTGTTGGATTTAATGCTCTGTGATTGGAACTGTTGCTGTGATTTTTCAGTATTTTTAATGATTAAAAACCAAAACACGCTAACGAGCAGAATGATTGCTTTAGTTTAATCGACACAAATTAAAGGCTGTGCTCTGCTAATCACACATTCTTTAGCTGGTTTGATATAAAGTGTTTTGCAAATGTCAATTTTACCCAAACAACTATTTTTTATTTTTTTTACGGTAGCAAAGATTGTGGAAGGTGTACAACTACATTAAAATTCAATTCAATCAAATAAAAAAACAATAAAAAAAAGAAGAAATATGCATTTGTTTATTTAAAAACTTATCAGACACTCTTACATTCATGTTTGCAAAAGTAAAATAACACAAAGTCTTGACGGCACACAACAATTGACATGTTTGATTATATACACAGTTTCCAGTGTTACATTATGAGGCCATGAAAACCTGCACATTTCATGTAATTTATTCTACAGTTCAGGCCACAGTTTCTCAGGCTACACGTCTTGACTGAAATATGCAGCGCCAGCGCCACTAACAGGAATCTCAGCGAGTGAAGTCATAAAATCGACTCGATGGAGGCGTGATCCACCGTGTCGTAGAAGCGCAGACTGGCCTTGTAATGCAGCAGCTTCTCAGCCAGAAGACTGCCGGTCAGCGCTTTTCCCTGCACGCTCAGGTCTATGTACCTGGACAAGATCAGACAACAGGTAAACACACTTAAAGTCATGATACACAACTTACACAATGTCTTCTCATATTTAAATATGTGATCTGTCTGCACAGAAAACATCTTTAGCAGCTGTTCAAAGGCACCTACATGGACTGAACGAGGGTTACTCACTGTAATTCACACATGAAAATGTTTTTGTTTGTTAAATTAACATTTTAATGCAACCTTTATTCCCTCTTCTAGCTCTGGGGATTAAAAATAACACCATACCTGTACGACACACTCCAGAACGCCACAGTATTTATAGCCATCAGTGTGGCCAGAATGAAGAAGAATCTCTCCAGGTTCCCATCATGCAGCATGTTTGGGTAAAAGTTACCTATAAAGAGAGTGTTGCTGTGGTCACATTGGCATTAAATCAATGCAGTGCAGTGTTTGTACTCAGTTTTACCTCCAGAGACAAAGTACATCAACTGAACGATGAAGGCTCCCAGGAAACAGCCCCCTCCGTAGGACAGAGTGAGGAAGTGCAGGGAGATCCCTCTGATGTGGCTCGGGGTCAGCTGGAAGGATATGAGGGAGCCTGAAGAGAAAACATAAGAGCATCTTTTTTGCTGTTTTTTTTCCTGCAACATGCAAGGCAGAAATACTGACAAGGAGGAATTCAACATCTGCCTTTGCTGTGAGTCAGTTGTTTTGTGCTCAGAAGTATTTGAGAAGATGCACCATCTACTGTCATCACAGAGGCCTTCACTCACATGCAGGGGTGACGAGAGCCTCTGCCAGACCGAGCAGGACGTACTGAGGAGCCAGCTGGAAGCACGGCATGGACGACACCTGCAGAACCTTCCCCGACAGAGTCTGCTCCACCAGGGGGTAAGACTTCCTCTGCAGCTCGGACAAACCCGCCACCAGGACGGACAGAGCGGCGCACATGTGGCCCAGAGCTGCAGGGGGGAGGATGGACAGGGCGGGGTGATAAGAGAAGGGGCTGCACAATAGGGGGGAGGTTGTGGTTACAGGAGGAGAGAGGGAGTGACAAAGACAGAGGGATATTTAGGTGAAGACATTAGAATTATGTGCGGACTAGCAGGGGTTCGTGTGGAAACACTCACTGATGAGTTTGGCGGGCGACAGAGGGGTTTTTCCAGAGGCGAGGTAGCAGGTGGTCACACATTCGATCAGAGGGGCTAAGAGCAGCAGAGGCAGGATGCCGATCACATTCATGGCACCGATGGGCAACAGGAGGTCGTTCAGGTGGAGGTTGGAGTTCATCGTCTGGATGTAGTAGCCCGAAGGAATCTGTGGGAAGCAGATTGTTAACCTCACTGCGTATGATAGAGCATGGGGATGATCCTGTTTTATGCTTGGAGGCCCGTCGTGTCCCAGTGACCTGCCTGAGTGACGCAGGCTCTGTACAGCAGCTGAAGGCCGTAAAGAGGGAAGAGCTTGGCCAGGACTTTCACGTTCTCCACGTGCGTCTCGCTGTACCGGCCACCGTTGTTCTCTTTGGCCCGGTCCAGCCAAGAAGCCACGTCTCCGCTCAGGTGGCGATAGTGGAGGCAGCACATCTTGAGAGAGTTCAAGAAAACTCCCAGCGTGGTCAGTAGTGATCCACCTGTGACGGCCAGGAGAAGAAACAGTGGGAGTCAAGTCACTGCTGGTTGTATTTCAAACAACAGACACTGAGTCAAAATGCTTTAGGAAGCAGAGATACTTCATCGACTGAAATTGCTCATGCTAATGTTGCTCCCATTAGAAAGTTCTTAAAAATCTAATCAGTAGAAAAAATAAAAGACAAACACAAGCAGAAAAGTAGAAGCATAAATACAAAAATGTACACTGTAGTAGGAAAATAAAAATAAAAATCTAATGAAGTTCTAATCGTGTTATTGCACAAATAAGTAGTTTTTCCAATGTAATAGAGAGGTAAGTTTTTAGATTGTGGGAGGAAGCCGGAGATGTGTCCTCACCGGGATGTAAACCAGCGACCTTCTAGCTGAGAGGCAGCGGTGCTAACAGTGAGGGCATTTTATGAGATATTTCACAAATCTGCCAACTAAATCGTTACCAAACAGTTTCTTCACCAGTATGTTTGTAAAGGTGTGTGATAACATGTTTTAAAATGTTGAAGTTCAACTCCTGTGGGAAACCCTGAAAAAACCTGCTCAAGTTCGGCTCAGAGGGAATGTTGAGCAGCTGCACCCTCTGTCAGAGGGAGAGTCTCTGGTCTGAGAACTTCTGCCGCCGCCTTCCTTAAGAACATGTTGTACCAAATTTCACCCAATTTAGTATCTGGTCCATGATAAATGTACTGGAGAATCACAGCACCAGCCTGAATCACTGCCTCCATTATTATTTTTTATATTTTTACTATGATAACAATGATGATGATGATGATGATGATGATGATAATTATTATTATTATTATTATTAGTCGAATTAAGAGCAGTGTTATCATTATTACTTGTAAAACAGAGGTGTAATCCCATGGCCAGCAACTGCAGAAACTGTATCACACCCTGTGAAGCCCTTCTGACTTTCAGAGAGACATTCTTGTATCTGTTGGATGTTGTAAGAGCCGTTTGATGTGTTTAAGAAGAACCTCCCTCCCTTTTTCTGCAATTGCTGGCCATGGGGACACAACTCTGTTATACAGGTAATAATGATAACACTGCTATTACTTCAACAAATCATCATCATTGTTATCATAGTAAAAATATAAAAAACAATCATGGAAGCAGTCATTCCGGCTGGTGCTGTGATTCTCCAGTACATTTATCATGGACCAGATACTAAATTGAGTGAAATTTGGTACAACATGTTCTCAAGGAAGGCGGTGGCACCAATGATCAGCCCAGAGACTCTCCCTCTGACAGAGGGTGCAGCTGCTCAGCATTCCCTCCGTGCCTACCTGTAGACCAGGACTGGATCCTTCTACAGAGCAGGTCTCTGAAGCCCAGTGACTATAGATGGATATTAGGTGTGCATGGGTATGAGCCAGTTCCAACACTAGACCCCATGGATCCTGAGGAGCTACTGAATTTGACGAGCTGTAATTGTCATGGAGATTGCAGCAACCGGTGGTGCAGAAGAATGGGGTCACGTGCATCTGGGCCTGTGAAGTCTGTAAAGGCATCACATGCAGAAACTGTAGTCATGATGTTGTTGAGTCTGAAAAAGACGTAGACAACGACTCTCGAAGCTTCTGACGTTGTGAATGAGAAATAACTCTGAGAATTATATAACTACGTGAAGTAAAAGCTGCTGTGAATGTAAATGTAAAGTGAGTGTGGCCTTTTTCAACAATGGAGTGTTTGTGGTGAAATATAAACGCTAACAATCAACTCAGAATCATGAACAAACCCTGATTTGACCCTCATAAGTTCCTTAAGGCCTGATTAAAAAAAAAAAAAAAATTATTTGACAATCGTTTATCGGTACCCTAACTTGAGCAGGTTTTTTCAGGGTTTCCCACGGGAGTTGAACTTCTACATTTTAAAACATGTTATCACAAACCTTTACAAACATATTGGTGAAGAAATTGTTTGCTAATAATGCAGTTGGCAGATATTCACATGTTTCCCTTCCAACAACCACCGAGCCACCTTGCAGCCCAAGACACATTCAACAAAGTGAAATAACATTCACCAGAAAACATGTTCCTCTGTTGTTGTTTGTGTGTTACCTTTCTTGGGTTTGTATGTGAGTTTGTTGCGCATCATGTGAATGGCGATGAGAGCCAGCAGCACAGAAGTGAAGGGGATGAGGAAGGCCAGGTTTTTGGCCACAGACTGCTGGATGTAAGCAATTCCCAGAAACACAACGATGGAATTCAGGTTCACCAACCAGTAGAACCTAAATGCAGCGAAGAAAAATCTTACAATGACTCATTTATTGCAACAAACATTACATGATTACCTGATGAAAATAAGAACTAACTCAGTAGACGCGAAAGAATTACACAATATCTGGCAACATAAGAATTAACAGGGCCTGTTGACTTGTTGAGGTTATCGTATAGTATCATATCGTATCGTATTGTATCGTATAATAAGAATAGCCCCATTTGCCCCCCTTTTAGTTTAATACCAACATCAGATAAAATTGAACCTTGGTCCAACCTTTGGCCAATGACACGTTATCTGGAAACCATGAAAACTGCTGTGAATGTACAGCATGTGGTAAAGGTATAGGCTATAAGGTCAAGCAAAACTCAGGAGATACATCACAATCAAAAGGGTAGAAGGTCGACAAATTGCTTGAGAACATTCATTCTCGCCAGTAGATGGACCCTTCTGTTCTGAACATTTCGTGGACTTTTGTAGAGCTATTCATGCGTGAAAAAGTTGGTAGTGTTTATAAAAAAAAGTTCATTTTCTCAAATAAATCATAATCAGACAGAAGAATAAACCTATTTGATTCTAGTGACCCAAATCCGTAACTTTAGCACCAGTTTTTATTTTAATTTTTACCCCAAAAGCATCATCAGAAGCTAAAAACAAACTGAATCATCATGTAGAAGGATAGGATGCGATTTACTCTAACAACATTATAAACAGGCTTTTTGGAGTCTGATTATCGGCAAACCAAGTGAATGAACTGTGTCCAGATGGCAACACCACCCACCAGTTGAAGAAGGACAGGAGCTGGTGCTGGTTGTAGCCCTGCAGGCTGTAAGCCCCCATGGGACAGAGGATGGCCCGGATGCCGCCGATGCCCAACGCAGCCGCCAGGAGGCCGGTGTAGAACAGGATCTGCTGCTCCCGAGGTTCCAGCTGGTGGGTCATGTGATGAGTGTCGATGTAGAAATCCTCGAAGGGAAACGCCACCACGGGCAGCATGGCCGTGCCTGAAGTAGAGCACAATCACAGAGGGAAGTAGTTGTAGTTTTTGTTGCTGGAGGATTGTGCATCTTTGTTCATGAACATGATTGTTTGGGATTTGTAGTCAGTAACATTACAGTACCGAATGAAAAGACACAATTAGAGCTGCTGTTTCTCTTGGAAAGTGAGCAGAGATGGATCATGTAAATTAAGGCCAAATAGCTTTACATTTTTCCCAAGTATCAACCCTCTCATCTTACCAAAGAAATGAAGAAACGCACACAAGTAGAGCACCTTAGTCCTTCCTAAACAGGTTTCTGCAAACCACCCGACCAGAACAGGGCTGAGGGTGCTGGCTCCTATGAAGCCCAGGTTCACTGTTGCAGCCAGGTAGTTGCTGTAGCCCAGCTTCACGGTGCAGAAGAGAATCATGTTGCATACAATCCCAAAGAAAGTGAACCTTTCACATAGCTCCACAAGCAGGACGCAGATGATAACTTGGAGCTTCTTGCGAGATTTCCTCGGCGGCCCCTGGTCCGGATGGGGGGTCTGGGAAGCCCGTCGTAGTTGGCCTCTGCCCTCCGGCAGTCTTCGAGGGTCTCCTGCCACCATAGCGCCTGGCCAGCGAGCTGGCTACCAGGCTGCTCGGATGCTGACAGTAATGAACCACAGAGAGCTCTGAAGGAGACCTGATGCCCCTGTGGGGTGGCAGCATCGGCCTGGAATACCACAGCCTGGTGCGACTCTCCAGCTGGACTCCAGGATCAGACGCACCCGCCTGGTTTCTGCACGTGCAGGCGGCTGAGTCACCGTCTTTCTCAGAAGTGTGGACGCCTCACGGTGATCTGACACGTTATGCAAACTTGTATCGAGGAGGAGAGATGGATGGGAGCTGTTTAGAGAGCATCCCTGAAATATTTCTATAATTACCAGCAGCAGGCGCACATGTGTCTGTTGTCTTCATCCAACACAGAGGTACTATCAAGGCTGCAACATCAACCAGGTCAAACAGGCACTGCACATCATTTGATCTCCACAATTTTATTTGTTGGAAATCTGCACCTCTGGCAGCACGTCCATCCTCCACCTTATACTCAAAAATCTAGTTTTAAGACCTGAAACCTTTCATTCTGAATGTTTTTTTTTGGTATGTCAATCCAATGCCACACATAAAACAGATAACATTATCCGCCCATAGAATCTCTGCAACCAGCTGTTATCTTCATTTTACGTTATTTGATTTAACTGTCAGATAATAATTGACTAAAATGTTGGCAAATAGAAAAACATACGCATCAGTTAATTCATACAAATCGTTCTTTTTTCTTCTGATGAGCAGTCAAAGATGTTGACGTTACTATCAATCAATCAAATAAACATTTATATATTCACATATAAATATTCACATTGGAGAAGCTTGTGAGTGTAAATTTGTGTAATTTTAATCAAAATGTAATTAACGATCAATTAATGATCCATCAGCTGACTGTTAAATTGATCAGCTTCATTCAGTTCTAGTCTATTGGTTAGTTTCTGGATGTCTGGGGGAAAATAATGAAACTGCCGCGTTAAAACAAAACAACTCTATCATCCATCTGAGAAATGAATGTGTCTGTAATGACTAGAATTGAGCCACACGCTTGATTTTAAACTTTAATAGTAAATGAATGAGTACGTCACACATTATTCATAGACCGACAGAACTCAAGAAAACACAAGGTTGTCTTTACAGTTAGCATTAAAACACAATTCCAGAAAACGACTGCAGGTTATTACAAAATACTCACAAAATGTCACGTCTCTTTGTGAAAGCAGCTCCTTACTGTACAAGCTCATTTTGACTCGCCTGCTGGTAATTAGACTGATAATGTTAAGTGGGAGCGACACAGAGTGCATCAGCAGGTTGACTTCAACTGGGTCAGAGCTGCCACACAGACAACAAGCAGCTCTTATCATAGCAGCGGTGCACTGATTACCTGAAGCACAAAGCACAGGGCAGGCCAGACAATAACAGATGGCCTGGAAAGTGCTTGTCCAAAGTCACCTTCCTCGTTTCTCAGGTATTCCCAGCAGTCTGCAAATTCTGGAACATCAAGTGTTTTTTCCATTGTTTAGGAATGTTTGGTGTCAAGTTAAAATAGATCCTTCTAAAGAGTCTGTGTAGCAATTTTATCACCAAATCAGTGAAGCTGGATTATCTTTACATGTCTTTATTGCTTCCTTTCTTGAATTTACAAACTACAAAAAGGGGAAAAGAACAAATCAGTCATCTTTCCAAAGAAACGTAGGAATTCAGTGTTTTATAAATCTACATATTCTTCTCAGGTCTTTAAAATGTGTTTATTTGAGTAGAAAGTTAATGAAAGTATTCCTAATTAGGAGGGAAATTGTTAATATAATGCAACAAATGGCACACTTCATGATTGTTATTATTATCCTTTAAAAAAACCCCAACTAATTTGTATTGGTGTGTAACATATGATGCTTGTGTCATTTGTGACATTACTGCTTTAAATAAAAAGTTAAAAATGTGACTTGTTGAATCCAGCTTGTCAGGGGAGGGGAAGCAACATTAAATCAAGTGTTCTTGGTTTTTAAGAAAACGTATTCATTAAAGTCTCTCTCTGGTCATTGATTAAATCCATAAAAAAAACAATCACTGTGCATCAGTGACATATTTAAAACCAAACACACATTAATCTGCATTAACATCAAGCACAACACATAAGATTTGGACACACAGGTTTTGGGAAATATATAACGTTGTAGTGTCTTAATCTTAATATTTAAATTATTACACATTTATATAATAAATGATATTGTAATGATATCATAATTTTAACATTTTAATTAGCCAGGTAAATATATATGTAAATAACATTGTAGGTTTTTAATGTTTAACTTAGGTAAATTAGTATTAGACATAATATTACACGGTTTTAATATTATTTTAATTTAGTGAATTTATATAATTTATATTGCAGGCTTTTAACTTTGATATCTAAATGAGTCATGTACATTTATATATTAAATAGTGTAGGTTTTAAAGCTTAATATTTTTTGTTTGCGGGGCAGATTTGTATTATAATGTGGGGTAATAACCTTAATTTAAATAAGCCAGGTGCATTTATATAACAAATAATACTGTAAGGTTTAATTATTTAATTTTTTATGTCTCTATTGTAAAGCAGGATCATAACAGTGACATTATTGTTTTAATTAAAGAGCAAAAAGTCTGTTGTAGGAGCTTTGTCTGGACAAATAATAGGTTTAAAATTAAAACAATGGAGATGTTTACAAGCGTAGACGGGACAGCGTCAAGCGTCACCATGGTTACGACTCGTAGCGCGTGGGGGCGTGGTGTATGATGGGAAAAAAAGTTGTAAATCAGTTCCAACCAAACCTGGAGAAGGAGAGGAGAGCTGCAGCGACACTTCTCTCTTTTAAGTTTGACACAAAGGTAATAAAAAACACATTCGAAGTTATTTTCGAAGCGAGCTAGAGCACTGCACGCAGGTAAGCTAGCAGTTAGCATTGAACGTTTGGTAGCGCGTTAGAAAGTAGCAGCGCTATCGATAAGCTAGCTAGCGAATGCTAACGTTAGCCTAAACAACATGGCTAACGGTACAAATCTGTTGCTAATGCCGTGAGCATTAGGCATGAGGTAACTGGATTACAGTACCTCGCTGGCAATTATGTTTGACAGCAGTTACGACAAAAACACTCGTATCTAAAGTTCACTTGTTCGGACTTTTTGTGTTCCGCCGCAGACATCGGCTGGTGATGTCTGGAGACAGGATGCCCAGCTGCCCTGCCACCGCGTCCAAGGGCTTCAGCTCGACCCCTGTCAAGACGAGCCTGGGGAGAGACATCCACGCATCTAAGGGCTTGGACGACGGCATCCTGTCCGACGACGAGGACACGTTTTCCCTGCTTTCGCCCATCTATCATGACAGCTTTGACAGTGACCAAGAAGATCTGGAGTCCGTCTCAGCTGAGCAGACTTCAGCCAGGAGGAGAGACGACTCCAGACTCAGCACGTCACCAGTCAGGTACTGCTGAGTTCTGATTCTGACTAAAGCTTGAGGTGCTGTCTGTCCTGTGTATGCCATGGTATGAGTATTTGTGTTTGTTTTGTAGATGTGAGCTACCAAAAGCACCTTCAGAGCAGATGTTCAGTCCAGCTGTGCAGCCTGCAGACGCGTCTTCGCTCAGTGCATGGGAAGCGTGGCTTATGAACAAAGCTAAAGAGGACTGTCTGAAACTGGTGAAGAAAGCAGAAGAGGCAAGCACCCTTAATGGAAATGCAGCATTTCTTTTAATACCTTTAATATATTTTAGTGAGTACTACTCATTTCTTTTTGCACCCCCTCTGAACCACTTCCTGAAAACTGTTTTGTATCCCATGATTTAGGAGCGCTCACTCAAAGAAAAAAGCAAAAAACAAGAAAGAGAGCGGAAACAGAAAAAGATTATCATGGATGTAAAGGTCCAAGATTGGCTAAAAATGAAAAGAGAACAGGTACAGAGTTGATTTTTAAAACTCATTAATGTCACAATTTGCATACGGGCGTAGAGATGCTACAGTTAACTACTGTACTTATGTCATTACCTGTTTTCTTTCTGCAATCCCAGGAGAGGCACGAGCAAAGTGTAAAACACAGTAAAGAAGAGGAGGAGATGCAGAGGCAGCGGGAGAAACGGAGGGAGACTGAAGAGAAAGCTCAGCAAAAGTACAAAGACTGGCTGCAGAAAAAGAACCAAGAAAAAACTGAGAAGGAAAAGAAAGAAAAGGTAATGCGGCTCTGTTTGTCTTCTTTTTTGTTTTTTAAAGATTGAGCTGATAAATTAATGTATAAACAGACAGATTGTGAGAAGTCTTTTTTTCTTGCAGGAGGAAGCTGCCCTGAAGGAGGAGCAGGAGAAGGAGCGCCGCAGGAGGGGAGAGGAGAAGTTTAAGGAGTGGCTGACAAAGGCCAATGAGAGAAGCAGATCCAGTCCCAGATCACCCTGCAATGCAACAAGTACGTTCATTCAGGCATTCTGTAGCTGCATTAATGATAAACTCAGAGTGCATCAGGTGACATTGCTGCTCATCACTTTCATTTTTCTTGGCCATCACACTGATTTGTTTCCCTTTAGGTCCCTACGACAAATCATACCCATCACCCAGCTTCTACAACCCCATCCCCTGGAAGCCGATTCACGTCCCTCCTCCAGAACCTTCACTGAACAAGACGTCTGGCAAGAAGCCTCAGAAACAGAGAAAAAGCCAGCAGAGCCCCGGCGCCGCTTTTAGACTGAGGAACACTGCGAGCGCGTCACATTTGCTGCAGAGGAGATGACACAGCGGGCTGTCGTCTATGACTGATACGGTAGCTTAGTTACGGCTCAAATATGATTTGGCCACGACTCATCCAAACCAGTGCAGCTCCTCAGCCGAGTGTCTGCTGAGTCACACATGGATTCCTGTTCTCCAGAATAGTGGCTTTGGTCTGTTTTGTTGTAATAATGCATTAGCTCAGATTAGTTTGTGCATAAAGACGTCTGAATGTTCTGGGTTTGGAATTTTGAGATGATTTTACAGAGATGATGTTGTGACGCTGATGTAGCTTTCCTACCAATATAATGTCTCGCATACATTTAAAAGCCTAGAGTATGATCTATTTTGTAATTTTCTGTAAATTCTATTTTTTATTTGGATAAAAGAGGCCTCGCCAAAGCTCCTCTAATACTCCTGTCTTATCTGTTCACTCAACAAAGCCACATGTCACCGCCGCCAACCACAATAAGGCACCGACCGCACAACAGAAAGAAGGTGGCTGGTGGTCACAGCCAAAGATAGACCCAGCTCGGTCAAGTGCCTCTCACACTCACACATTGTTCTGTGTCCAGCTGTGCCTCGTTCTTCTGTGGGCTGAGATGACGACAGACACTAGTGAGGGGGTGGAGAAAGAGAGCGAGAGAGAGAGAGAGGCTGATTCAGAGCAGTATGTTCATTCTGTGTTAGCATCTCGCTGTGATGCCGATGTGTGAAGCCTGAGGTAAAATAAATTCAATTACGCTTCGTGTTAGATTAACCATCTTTAGGTACCTGCGTTCTATTTGTGTCTGTCGTGTTTCTGCTGTGACTCACTCTGTGATTAATCCCTTTCTGCTGTTGAGTGCTGTGGAATGTGTTAGTTGACAATAGTCAGGGAGGGCGCTAATTATGTAGGGCTTTTTTTTTTAAAGGCATTTTTTTGGAGCAGCTGTGAAGACAAAGATGTTTACATTTCATCACGACATTGCAATAGTGGTTCAAGCTGTTTGTTCAGGGCTATTTGCACACTGGGTCTTGTAAGCAAAACACGCCTCCCACCTCTGTAAAGACTGCTCAAAGTCAGCCTCCAGCTTTTGCTTTAATGGCTCACAGCTTTTTTTTCTAATCTGAGGCAATGTGGTGAGTTGTAACCAGTTGATCATGATGCAAACTGTTGCTCAATCCATGCTGTGCTTGATGTTTTGTATCTGCCTCTCCTAGGCGATTTATCCTATTGCAGAGCCCGAGTAGAGAAATCCCAAGATGCAGTGGTGCAGGTGGGCCGGCGGTTGGAGGTCACACCTACCGAGACAGGTAGGAGGCGTGTGTGGAAGTGTGTTGGAGGGGAGGAGAGGTGTAGCGGCCACAAAGACTGACAGTCTAAAGGGCAAAAGTACACACTGAACTTGTGTTTCAAGAATGTGGCTGATAGCGTAATGCAGATCTGAAAACCAGCTCAGGATGAAGGAACGGGCTTTTAGATTCTGACTTTTTACCTGATTTCTGAGAACTGAAAGGAGTTTGAATCCCCTGCTATGGGATAATTAAGCTGGTTTTGTAGTTGTTTCCTGACGAATGGGGGTGAAAATGAAACCAGCTGTCAAGGTGGACCCGACAGTGAGTTCATTTGTAGTTCTTTCTTTTTATCCTTGAATTGGACATATTAACCTGCCTGTTAAAAACCTGATTTCCTCCTTTTTCTCACAAGGATGTGGCCGCCGTTTCTGTAAATACTCTCAGTTATTATTGACACAACTCGGAAGGAACACACAGAAGTCTTATATCTTGTGTTTCAGCCTCATTGTATGTGTTTTTAATTTCTTCTTTCTTGTTTTCCTCCTGTCACTGTGCAGTCCGCCACGCCGGATATTGAGGACTCCTTTGACTTTCTTTTTAAAATCATCCTGGTTGGGGACTCGGATGTTGGGAAGACCTGCGTGGTGCAGAGCTTCAAGTCTGGAATTTTTATTGAGAAGCAGCAAAACACCATCGGGGTCGACTTCACCGTTCGTACTCTGGATATTGACGGCAAGAGAGTGAAGGTAGGAGACATAAACTCTCTTTTCATTCCTGTTTTTGTTTATTTATGTTTGCATCGGACCTTCTCAGATCACAGCTGGTCGTGTACACTCATTTCCAGATGCAACAGGAATCATTAAAAGTTTATTTTTCCACATTTAAATTAAGAAACACATGAATTTGAAAGATGCGTCTAAGTGTGTATTCTTGTCTTAAAATAAATAATCTCTTGTTTCAGTTAATCTGTGTTTTTTTTCTGTCAGAGGACGAGGAGTGGTTGACTGCCTGTTTTGATTGATATCAGCCGTGTGTTAGCTTTCTGGGCGTGTTGATGTGTTAACTAGCAGATATCTTGATATGATAAAAAAAAAAAAAAAAAGTTTGCAGTCCTGTTTACACAAGCATTGTTCAGAGACGACTGATAACAGGGTTCGCAGCACGTCTGAATAACTTAGAAAATACATTTTTAGAGATACTTAACCCACATTGTGTAACCGGTTAACCCACATTTGTGTTCTGTGTGTTATCGCAGATGCAGGTGTGGGACACTGCAGGACAGGAGCGTTTCCGCACCATAACCCAGAGCTACTACCGCAGTGCCCACGGGGCCATGGTGGCCTACGACATCACCCGCCGCAGCACCTTCGAGTCTGTTCCCCACTGGATCAGGGAGGTGGAGCAGTACGGAGCTGCCAGCGTGGTGCTGATACTCATCGGTACGTAGAACTGTTGGTCTGTACAACATCTTCTTAGAGTGCAGATGCTGCTATAAAAAGAAAGTACAGGACCCGTCATTGACATCACCCATCATGTTCCATATTAAATTTACTTTAAAATAGATGTTTTTGATAGAATTAATTAAAATAAAATGGACAATACAAATTTTTTTCCACAACCAGTGATCAGAGAACTGATTGGAAGGAAGCACAGCCATTTATCTTTTAACTATCTGTCTGTCAACCTCTCTGCTCATTTGCTTAATTTCACATAATTAGTCTGCAGCAGCAGGTGATTGTGTGACATTAGCCTGCAACCACCTTAGCTGTGAGTTTATTGGTCATTGTGGGCGGATAATAAAGATCAACCCATTCGTAATCTCAAAAAGGGAGTTCATTAACAAACTATTTTGATAATCAGTCATTTAATGTAATTTATTCAATCATTCTCTGGTTTACTGGGATGGACGTCTTCCACAATTTTGTGATATTAAATAGATTCAAGGATAATTGAGAAAAGCAATTGTCAGTGTGTTCAGTCTTGAAAATAATTGTTATTTGCAGCCCAAAAGCATTCTGTTAAAAAAAAAAAAAAAAATCTGAATATCAGTTATTTATTTATTTACTTACTAACTCTCTATTGGTGGAGGTACTTCCCAATCTTACACAGTAAGTCCAGACGTAACCCAAAATAAAAACATCCTTGAGGTTCATTTACTGAGGTTTGGGTTTAAAACTGTAACTGCGACGTGCAGCACTAACAATATTCTGTTTTGCAGTTTTGGTACGATCTGTGCAAATTTGGTTTTATCAGTCAGTCACTTCAGTTCAACTGTATTTACAGAGTACCTAATTTACAACATAAGTCATCTGAGGACACATTAACATTACAGTATGCAATATAATAGTGTATGTAATCTATAACATCATATCATATTATAGAAAGAAACCCAAGGATTCCCTTGAAGGAAGCACTCAGCAACAGTGCTGCTCACACAAAGATACTGGGTTATTTAGACGACAGCGCTTATTACTGTTTTGATAGTCTGTTAATCATTTTAGTCATTTTTAAGCTAAAAAGCTCAACAGTCTCTCATTTCACCTCCCTACACATAAGGACGTGGTACTTTTTATGTCAAACATGATAACAAATTAAATGTTTTGTGGGTTAGTTACTCTTGGGAGCTGCAAGGTGGTTCGGTGGTTAGCATCGTTGCCTCGCAGCAAGAAGGTTGCCGGTTCACGTCCCAGTGAGGACACCCGGGATCTTTCTGCGTGGAGTCTCCATGTTCTCCTTGTGCAGCGTGGGTTCTCTCCGGGTTCTCCGGCTTCCTCCCACACAGTCCAAAAACATGCTGAGGTTAATTGGTGATTCTAAATTGTCCGTAGGTGTGAATGTGAGTGTGCTTGGTTGTCTGTCTCTAAGTGTAGCCCTGTGATAGACTGGTTGCCTGTCCAGGTGAACCTGCCTTCACCCTGAGTCAGCTGGGATAGACTCCAGCCCCCCATGACCCTAGTGAGGATTAAGTGGTGTATAGATAATGGATGGATTTACTCTTGGCAGGAGGAAGAAAGATGTTTCTCAGTTTTCTCATTCTAATTTTCTTTTTCATTGCAGCACTTTTTTTTTTTTTACTGCACTGTACTTTTTACTGTGGGTGATTTTTAGGTGCTCTGTGTTTTCTTCTCAGTCCTGACCACTGAAAAACTGCAGATAACTGCTCTACGTCTGTTGTAATCGTCCCTCTTTCTGTTCTGTTCACTGTGCAGGTAATAAGTCAGACCTCCACACTCAGAGGCAGGTGTTGTTCGAGGACGCGTGCACTCTGGCAGAAAACAACAACGTGCTGGCAGCCCTGGAAACCTCGGCCAAGGAGGCCCAGAACGTGGAGGCCGCCTTCATCCTCATGGCCCGGGAGCTGCTGGCGCGCAACGGCATGACCATGACGGACGAGGCCTCACAAGACTCGACTCAGTTCATGTTGAGTAGCAACTCTCACCCAGTCCAAGGCGCCGTGTCTTCAGATAAAAAATGTGGGTGCTGAAGCAGGCGTGTGCCGATTTAGACTGAAAAACAGAGGTGGCGGTCTGAATATTCAATGTACACGTGTTTGAAAAGTTTCTCTACCAGAGAATTAAGGTTATTTATAGAGAAACTGTGCGTGTTGCATTGTGTGTGTGTGTGTGTGAGTTTAGGTTTTGTACATGGTTGAATTTCATTATTTATACGGTTAATAGAATCGGTAACAGGTTTAAATGGTGGTCGCTTGTCGTATTTTGTAATATTCTTCAGAGGATAACTGCTGCTGAACGGGATAACGAGACACACCTCTGCTGGAGGACTCTGTATTAAGACTGCACAACAGTAAACACTACGTTTTCACAAGATACGCCACTTTTTTGTGTCTTTCATCCTTTTTAATTGTTCTTCCCTCTCCGTATGACTTTTACAGTACATTACCCAGAGCTCCACAGTGTTTACTTGCAATTTAAGTCACCTGGAAATCATACATCATCAAACCTGTCGCTTACAAATATAACAAACCAGCACAAGATTAAAGTCGTCTAATACAGGCATTTGCATCGCAAGGATTTCACAACCGTAACCGCTAAACAGAAAAATAGCACCTCGCTTGTTGTGTAATTCAGAAAACTTTACAAAATGAGACTACACCGTTTAAAAAAATAAAATTAAGATGCACCTGGTTGAAGCTGAAATCCAAACTGTTGAGGTACTAAACTTAATCTCATCTGCATTCGTGTTCATTCACCCTAACTTAAAAACAAATCACGCTAAAATATAACAGCAGTAAAAAAACAAAAAGGTGTATATTTATTAAAGGCAAGCAGACCTCTGTGCAAAGACTAAAAGCATCTTCATCTGGATTAACAGTGGTCTTTAAAGAGCTCCTTCCTGAATAATCTAAACATTAGCTGGACAGGTTAAATGATGCCTGAACTCTCATCTGAGAACTTCGATGCTTTATGTCTATCTATCTTTATAAAAGTGTGAATGCGGTAAAATGTGTGTAACTCTCCGCCTACACCTGCGTTCTTCACAAACTATGTGTGGATTTATTTTCTGCAAAGACAGGGAAGCACAGATGTCGACTACACACACACAAACAGTGATTTGTGTGTTATTCATGAAAAATGTTTTTAAAAAATCTGCAGTCTGAGACACTAGGATGTATGTAACTTTCCTATATTTAGAGTTAAAAATGCATATTGTTGCTTTTTGCAGCTCATTCTATGGCACTGTTATCTAACGCAGTAACAGCTATGTCTCCCCTGTGATAATCAAGGGCAGGTAAAAACACTCCAAACGCCTCTGTTAGGGTTTAGACTGGAAAGCGGTGAGATGGAGTCAGATTGGAGCCGCTCGTCCTACTCCAGAGGCCAACCTTCCTGCTGGAACACCATCTCCACCGCCTCCTTCACATCCTGCACCACAAAGGACGGCTGCAGGAGGCTGGGGTCGAAGTGGAAGTCCCTGTGACCGTGGAAGATCTGCTGCTCGGTGACTGCTTGCGCCGGGTCGGAGGGCAGCTCCTGCTGGTCTCTGCTGTACACTCCTGTGCACACCAGCATGGAGCTGCAGCCCTCGGGGAGGTCCTGCTCTGGATCCACACCTCCTCCGCCGGTCTTACCCTGCGTCTGGGCCTTGGTGTGGCGAGCGGTCTGGAGGTAGCGGTTGTAGAGGTTGGCACCGTAAATGTCCGCCATGGGATTATCGCTATAAAAAGAGGAGAGTGCCGAGGCATTATGAAAGGCTTTCACTTCGAATCAGAGCCAGATAATCAAGTGTAGATCACAGACTGATTCACTCACCCGATAGCGTACAGCCTCCTCACAGGCGTGGCCCAGCCAAGCGCCTCAGCCTGCTGTCTGATCAGCAGCTCAGCGTAGTTATAAGTCACCACGCTGGGTTTACCGATCAGAGCCTCGTACTTGAGCTCATAACCTGTGACCTTCTTGTACAGACTCTCTAAGCAGACGAGGAACATGCCGTGACCAAACCTACGAGACAGGCAATATTTACTGTACCAACACTGTGGCGACATTTAAAGGTTCAAATAACATTTCAAAGTGTGATGATTACCTGGGATTCTTCGCCTCTGCCATCCACAGCAGGTCCATGTTGCAGGCCAGCACTGGGATGTGAGGGTATTGTGTCGAGCTCCAGGAGTTGTCCGGGTTTCCCCTCGTGAGGAGAACGTCGACGATAAGCTGGAGGTTGGTCTCCCATCTGATCGGCTCACCGAATAGGATGACGGCTGTAAGACCACAGAAATGAAGAGAAGCTGTCACACATATAGAGAAATTATGAACTGTATGGATTTACATGTGTAGTGAGCGTGTGTGGAATCACACCATCTATTGGTCGTAAGCTTTTGGTGGCTGGAATCTGTAAGAGATTGTAGACAGTAACATGTCAAACTCACTTGTAATTAGACATGAACTAGCATCAACATAAATTCGACTTACATGGTCTTTAGGTCTTCTGTTGTGATCTACAACATCCAGGACTGGGTATGCCTCTCTGAGCATGTCTATAGTAACAACATCCTCAAAACCCAGGCTGGGGTTTGGAGGGTTAAAGTAAAACACAGGTGAGCAGGAATTATGAGCCACAGAACACAGATGAAGAAACTAATTTACAAGATAAATCTTTCTAATAGAACTTAATCACAAGACACAGAGTTTGTTGACATACATGTGCACAGCTAGATGAGCGAGGAACAGGAGAGAAACACCGAAAAGGAAGATTTGGTTGCTAAAAATATGGAAAGATTTCAGCTAGATAAGTTTGACCAAAATGAATATAATTATTTTTTTTGGCCAAACTAAATATCATATTGTCAGTTTCTTCCAATGTGATGCAGCCCTACTTTTAAATAAAAGAATCAGATTCCATTTGCCAACAATCTTCCATTATTTCTTTTTCTAATTTGTAAATCATTAGATTTTTTTACACTTCAAATGACCACATTTTGACTTGAAGTAACTCCCAGCAATCCCTCCAAAAAAAAGCAAAGCCATGTGTGCAAAGCTTCCCTGAGACAGTCAAGCAGCAAAGGGAACAAAGAGCACAAAGACTAAACACTGATAACTGAGCAGAACATGTAGGAAAAAAAGCACTAAATAAACAGAACATGCACACTTTAAAGGTCAACATGGAGAGAGAGAGAGAGAGAGAGAGAGAATGCAGGAACTAAACTCATGATAGGATACTTGTGTGCGACTTCCTCAATAGGACCCTGTCCAGAGACCAGCACACGCATTTTGTGGAACTGGGTGAACATTCGCAAAGGACTGTGGGACAGCATCACCTGGTCTGGAGACACCTGAGTCAAAAAGAACAAATGGCTGAAGTAAAACAAAACAAAAAAAAAACAGGACAAAGCAAGTTGATTCAAACAGTGTTCCGTTTACCTCCACCTCCAGCAGATGTGACAGATGTTCAGCTTTGGTCTGCCTCATGCAGTTCCCAGCGTTGGTGACGAACACCACCGGGACCTTGTACTTCCCATTGCGGTCCACCAGGTTCCTGAAGCACTGCTTGGCTGCAGGGATCGGCGTCCTGCCTCGCACCAGCACCCCGTCGATGTCGAAGAGGAGCCCGAAGGAGCCGGGGCCCTGTGGAGGAGGAGGACAAACCAGAGAGCGCTGACATGTGGGGCTGGGAAACACAAGGTAGTTGATTAACCTGTGGAGATACTGATGAGATCACAGTGGACTGGGGGAGACTTTGTTCCTATAGGGAGCCTCTGTAAAGTAAACAGCAGGGTTTTATTGGAGCAGATCAGTCATTGATGAAGTGCAGAGGAGTAATAACAGTGGCTGTGAATGTAGTAGAGCTTCAGCATGGTGGTCACAGTGCTTCTAAACAATGAATTAGGAAACATATCTATAAGCACAACAACTCAGCTCCTTATAATAGCAGCACACAAAGCTTTCACTTACTTGGCTGTAGTTTCTTGAGCTGGCAGACTTCGTTGCTCCCTCACAGCTGGACTTCAGCAGCTGCCAGACACTTTTAAAACATCTCATTCTCTGCATTTCTTCAGGCACTTGTGTGGAGAAGCCGGCGGCTAAACAAGCAGCACAGCTAGCTTTGAAAGAGCTGCCTTTTAGCTTAGCAAACGGTAACTGCCGACGTTCAGCAGATGTAACGGCTAAAGAGACGAGTCATGACACCAGCAGCGGTGGGGGTCACCACTAAAGTGTGCGCTGTCTCCTCATGCTGTCACCATTCAGGACCGACAGCACCGCAGTGACGGGAGGGCAGCGAGCGGGGCGCATGCGCACAAGGGCGAAAAGTGCAACGTCCTGGTTCGATATGACGTCAGGCAGCAACTCACCGGAAACACATGCGTGTGTTTATCATTTTCGTGGAAATGAAACTGAGTGAAACTTTCACCTCAACACTTCGGCCAGATTTTAGTTTTCATTATTATAAACATGAAACAAGTCTGTGTTTTAAAAATGAAACTAAATATAAAAAGACTTTATTGGAATAAATAAATTATTTAATCAATAACAATCATGAAGTATTTTTCTAAATGTTTTTACACATTTTATAAATTTCATACCACAATGTAATATGCACAAATAATTAGCTCAATATTTGCAGATACTTAAATTTGACCCGCACTGAACAAACATAAAAGTAGCGTGCATGTGGTCTGCTTTTCTGATTTAGTGAAAACGTTAAACATCTAATCTTCATTGTTCTGACTAAAAAAAGAAAAAAGAATAATAAGAAGAATAAGGGCCTAAATATAGCCAACTGTGTACAAAACATTTTTTAAGTTGTTGTACTGGTGACAAATACTCGACCATTGAGTTAAACCTTCAAAAGAACGTGGTCAGATAGCGTGACCAGTAAACTCCTTGGTCAAGGGCAGTGGCTCAGGACCTGGACCGTTGGCTGCCCCACCTCAGTGACTCAGCTGTGTAATAAAACTCAATGTTCCATGGACCTCTTCTATATGCCTATTATTACTATTTGCATTGCTAAAGAGTACTTAAGACTTTTTTTTTTTTAATACCAGCACATTTTTGCCACATTTCTTCCACCAGCATGATTTGCATTCTACTTTGCATGTCCTTATTTTTCTTAGATGTAACGTGTGAGCTACTGGATACCTAAAAGTATCTCTCTCTCTCTCTCTCTCTCTCTCTCAGTGCCACAGATGACAAGGGAAAGACCAGATTGGGTTGTTGGCCGCGGGATGCTGGCATGTCACTTAAGGCTGGAGTCAAGCACTTGAATGTCCAAAAATCCACAATTTGTAGGAGAGAACATAGTGAGGAATGAAGTGCTACACTGAAACGGATCTTTTCATAACCACACAACGAAAAATGTATTGTAAGTATAGTACTTTTTTTGTTAAATTCAATCTGATGTGTATATGTGCTATTCTGTCAATTGAAAAAGTCCAAGTCGCAGGAATGTGGACTTCACAGCATAATAATAATAAAAATAATCATCATCATCATACAAAAATTATTTAGATATAATAAAGCAATTGTGTCCATAGACTTTCAGTTACTGTAAAATGATATTTTTATTGGTCTAAAGAACAAAACATCAACAGCAATCAGTGCAGGATTTAATAATTAACGCAGCCGAACAAGCGTCCACAACAAAGACAAACACAAAAACACATTATACAGAAACTGAAATTCGTTCTTCAGCTGAATCTCAGTTCATTTTCCAGTCCATAAATTTTAGCCTTCAGAGTCATTAGTTCATCCTGAACCTTTTTCGTCCTGGTGTTGGTCTGACGGACCTCCTGCAGAATGGCTAGGTCCTGGTTGGGCCCAACATTCAAGGTAACCTGAAGAACAAAGGTGGTCTCTCATGAAATACTTACATACAGAGGAATGATGGTGTTTCTTTATTTTGTTTCCTCATTAAAATAAAGTCAGAAAACCATCTTGGTATGTTGAGATCACAAACATTTTTTTTGGTGAATATTTTCATTAGAAAAATAAAAGCGTAAAAAAAAAGACTAATGAGAGTCTTCAGCATTTTGTACCTTGATGAGCTGTTTTTCTACATCTTTGAGTTTCTGTCTGAGGTGTTTCAGGTCTGTCTTGAAGCCCTCCACCTCCATGACCCTCCTCTTCTCCAATGCTTCATAACGCTGAGTCATCAGCTGGAGACGCTTGGCCATTTTGTCTGAACGCTCCTGGACACGTAAGTAAGGTATCGGCCATAAGAATTTAAATGATCACAATAATATAAGCAATCAATCAGATATGTGTCTGAGGATATTAAACTAGTGTACCTTGAATATTTCCCTGCCCACATCGCCTTCCTCTCTGATTTGGGATAGTTCTGTCTCCAGAGTAATACACTGCTCTCTGTACATCTCCGCCAGACGGTGGGCTTGCTTCAGGTCCTCCTGCATGACCTGATTTTTAAAAAACGAAAAGAAAACAAGACTACAACCAAACCCAAAACACACCACGTACATCCTTCACTGAGGACAGAGATAACCAGCATCTATACTATTCTGCAAAATGAAGCCAGGAATTACTTATTGAGGTATACAATTACCATAAACAGGTATTCTATGTTACCTTTAGCTCCTCCTTCTGTGGCTGCTCTGACTCTGGCCGTGGCCGAGGGAGGGCTGTGCTGCTGCTGGGCTGCCACGTCTGCCCAAACGCAGTGCCAGCAGACCCGGCTTTTCTCAGACGGTTCTGGCAGGAGTCTAATTCCCTCAGCAGCCGATCCTTCTCCACCATCCAGCTCTTCTCATGAGCCCGTGTTTCAAACTTTAGCTGTAAGAAATCTCTGGTGCTCTCATGCAACAGGTTTTGAGTCCGCTCCAGCCTGAGACATCAAATAAGGTAGGTTACAGTCACACTATAGTCAGCCAGAGCGGTATTACTTTATAAAGAAGAAAAAGCATATCTTTTATATCTTTAAATGATTCATGTGCAGAGAGTAGGACTGTTAAAAGAGTGTAAAATAAAACATACATTGAGATGTAGTTTGCGTTATTGAACAACTGAAAATACCGACATCATACACATTATAAAAACTCACTTGTCAGTCAGAGCGGTGATACGTTCCTGATCTCTCTGCCGCTGTGCCTGTGCCTCCTCTGTTTTAATCCTGCGATCCTCCATCAGAGACTCCAGCTGCTCTTTGGCGAGCCGGGCCTGTTCCTCCATCTGAGCCTGCAGCGCCTCCACCTGGAGACATGAACCATGAAATTAAAACTCATCACAGTAACTATGCAGGTACAAACACAGGAAAAACAAATGTTTCACTTGTGTAATGCATTTTGTTTTGGAGTTGTATTTGTAAATCTAAATCCATTTAGGACCTATGACAACCCATTCTTAACCAGTTACACGCCAAGTGAACTCCTACCTGCAGCAGCAATGTTTGGTTGTCACTCTTGTATTGTTCCAAGCTCTCTCCATTTACACCTTCTGCTGATTTTGTTCTCCTGCTGCCCTCTACTCAAACACAAAATGGCACAGCAGTCATTCATTAGAAAAGGCTTGCTTAAACACAAAAGCAGTTTATTTAAAAAAAGCAAATGACAAATATATTGTTTTCTGTATCAAAGCATTACACAAAACTGAAGAAATATTATTTTGGGAAAAAGACATTTGCAAAAAAGTTGATTTCAAACCTTTCCTGGTCGCAGCAGGTCTTAGCTTTGTTGGCCTGAGGCTCAGATTTTCATCCCATCTGGATTCTGGTTTCTTCTGAGTGATGGTGACCTGAAAAAGAGTCATCACATATATCAGGTTTTTTCAAAGATATTCACTTGACTTCTTATTTTATTCATTCAAATTGTGTGTAAATCCACAAAAAAGAAAGGAAAAGCATTAGTGAATTTAACTCTTTTCTTCACAAAAATAATATTCAAAAATGTATGAAATCACATTTGAGGTTAGTACAACACTTTTGCTGCAGATATCTGACTTGACTTGTCACAACAGGAAAAGCACAGGTCTGACTAATAGTATGAAAAAAATCCTCTGTGCTTTTTAGATGTGTCAGCTGATGAAGCATTGACTGGCCTGATTCATTCCACCACAGTCTGACAAATCAAAACATCTGTTGGCCTACGATGGAGTTAACATGCACCTTGTGAGGAGGCTCCCGGTGAAAATATGTGATCTCTCCTGCATCAGGACCCACAAGGGCAAGAAGGTGCTGGATTTTCTTCCTGTCCTCCAACTCTCTGTAAAACAGTGACAAGACAGTTAGAAAGTTTTATGTCCTGCGGCACAAAAGAGAATTAAGGCAGTAAACTATTAAGAGAAACAGCAAAAGCCTTGCACATCCACTGCTGTCAATCAAGAACAGTTTGCAGAGGCCAATACAGTGTTGAGAGTAAGTTGAATCAGGCAACATATTTAAAAACACCTGTGTGTACCAGGGGCTTTAAATGAACTATAAAAGGTTTTCACTGCTGGCTTTTGGAATTATTATACCTGGAAACACAGGTGAAACTAATAACAGTAGGTCTGATCATGAACTGTGCACCTACCTGATCTTAAGTCGGTCGTTTTCTGCATAAAGCCGCAGAGACTGCTCTCTCTCTTGGAAAAGGTAGACTTGCATGTCACTCAGAGCATTTTGAAGCTCTGCAATCTCTCCCTCACGCTGTCGTACCTCCCACTGTAGCTTATGCTGAGAGGGCAACAAGGACAGAGCGATCAGTAAACAAAACCAAAAAATACTCAGCTGAAAATCAGTGTACTGACTGCTAACACTCACCTGGTCCTCTGTGATGCCTTTATACTTCTCCAGCATCTGCAGCAGCTCCTCCTGCTCGCTATCATACTGAGCGATCTTCTGTCTGTAGAACTCCAGCAGCTCCCTGGATGGACGTAGGTTTGCCAGACGCTCATGCATCGGAGGAAGTGGAGAGTCAAGCTCACCAGCCAGGGTACGAATGTTGCCTCTGTAGGAAAAACAGACTTTATGTGGCATTTTGTAGATGACACGACCACACATAGAGTTCACATTTGGGTAATGAACACTCACTGCTGCCCCCATGTTTGGTCGAGTAAGACCATCGATATCAGGAACATTTTACCTTGTGCACATCCACCACATGTCTGCGACAACTTTTAGACCCAACATGAAATCAACCTAAGGGATTAACCAAACCCATTTAAGGAATAAAGCTAAATCCATGTGGGATAAGACAGGAACAGCGGGGGACCAGACTGACACAATGAGTCCTATTATCATTTAGGGAGATTACAGCTAAAAGCATTATATCCGTCTCACTCTGTGCTACAGCAACATCGCTATTGCAGAAAAACAACAAAAATTATCCATCTTCCTGTGTGTTACCTGAATGTTATTACCTGTGTGGGGTTGCATGTTTAGTCGGCGATCCCATCCTGGCACAAAACACTGAAAACAAGAGTAAAATATATGTTATATAGGGACACAAGAGATATCGTTTTCAGTTATCATTAGCACTGAAGATTAGTTTCTTGTTTAAAGCTTTACATTTACACACTTTCAGCAGCCAGTTATGCATGGAATAGGCATGTTAACCCCAAGAAAGAAGTAATAAGTAATTGTGTTTATGTTCTGTGGACTAGTTTTATCTGTCTTCCTATACTTTTGTGTGAAGCACTTTGAACTACCTACAAATTGTGTTATACAAATAAACCTGCCTTGCCTTGAATAAGATTCAGTTAGTTTTTCGTCCTAAACTCATTTTACCAATAAATTAACATATAGACTTGTCAATTAGTAATTGTCATAAAACACATAAGTGTAATCTACATGCAGCAGATGCTTTAGACTGTGTTTGGTGGCCAGACTGTGGTCCGTGGTCGCCTCCTCTGCTGCCGCCCCTGTTGCTGTGGATGGAGCGGCAGGAGGAGCGAGACGTTTGAAAGCAGTGGAGTTACACGTTTTTCTTACGTTTTGAACATATTTCCAGAAAACATGCTAACTCAACTCAGCTGGACACACTGAAACTTTACTGCATGAGAAAAACAAGATGAAAAAAACAGCAGAACCCAAACGTTTGTCTGTAACGCATAACGGTGCAAATGATGCGTTTTATAGCGAAAAGACAAGCAGCACATAAAAGTGCACCTATATAGCTTTAGTATATTTATCTCGGGTGTTTTATAGCTACAATACAAGTGCATTTGACCTACCCGTCACAATGTTTTAAAAGTCTCAGCTCTTCATCCGAGTAGTTCAGCGGTGCTGCTTTTTTTTAAAACCCGGAAGTTTACACCTCTTCGTCTTCTTCGTGGGAAAGTGGAGAGCGGAAGTTATATTGCCACCGAGTGGCCTGCGACGCTGCAGTTTGAATTGTAAAGTGTCGCTTAATGACACAAAACACAAAATTTGCAATACTATTTACGTAGCACTAAGGGTAAGTGGTTTTTATTACAATAAAAGTTGGAGTCAGTCTGTGGTTACAGCGACAAATGTCGGCAGTTTAGTCAAGTTGGCAAGTTGGCACGAGTTACAACGGTATCCCTTCAAAATAAAGGTCCGACGTTAAAATTTGAAGCAACAATGAAGCACACAGAAATGAATACTGGAAGGATCATATATTATTTTAAGTAGTCAACTCAGCTACATTCGCTGCTAAAACTGGCTTATGCTCATTAATAAATGCCTCACGATAGAAAAACAAAAAATAAAACGTAACCGGACGCTCTGGCGTCACTGCGACTAGCTTGACACGCTGACCCGGTCAAGTCCCGTCAAACTTCACCGGCACCGTTTCGTTTTCTACTGTTTGTCAGCGATGGAGCGGAAAGTTGCTCGGGAATTTAGGCACAAGGTAAGATAACAAACGTTTTCTTTTTCTGTTCGTACATTGATGAAATGTTAGTTAAACGAAGCTTTTTATCTACCTGGTTGTCACCTCGCCGGCTCAGGTGTCTGTCCGGTGGGATGTTGCGCAGACGGAGGCCTATGAAGCCCCATGAAGACAAACAACAGCTAAAATGAGTCAGGATGTATTTTTGCCAGGCTGATTTTTAAAGAGTACATTTGATATTTAATTTATAAAAGGTTTAAGTGACTCTCATCACTACTGTAACACTAATTATAACGTTAAAACCCACATAGGATGATATAAACAGACCTGTTTTAATAGCTAGCAGGTTAATGGCTTTTTGTTCAACTCAAAAAAATACATCTCTTGAATTGTTTATGGTAAAATGGCTGTAATGAGGTTTTACTCTTTCCATAACTATTGTATTTATGGCCCACTTTTTATTATATTTAATTTTTTTATCTTAATAAACTTAACTTTAGGCTACATAGGATCTTCCTATTTTTCTTTAAAGCTTAAAAAATAGAGGCTGCTGTAGTGTGGTACCTGTTTTTTGCTTTGGAAACAACACATGTTCAGCAACACACCATGGTCACTAAAAAACAAACAAACAAAAAAAAAGGGATTCAGTAGATGGTAATTGGATCTATGATAAGTAGTGTCTTAACTCCAATTACACTCTGATTTGTGTGGTTTATGTTGGCACATTACAGCATGAGGTAAAGATAACTATAAGCAGAAGATAACAGAGGAAGGGAACATGATACGTTCAGATCACCACACAGCCATCTGTGCTGCACGCAGGCAGGCAGGCAGGCAGGCAGGGTCCCATATTGTAGGCTCCTCACAAAGGGCAACTTAGCATTCGGTAATGTGTTAGATATGAGCAGCTATGCGGAAGAGATGGGACAATTTGCGAGTTTAATTAGAGGCGGAGGGGACAACGAGCCACAATCAGGCTTTGTTTCCTTTGGGGACCTTATCATAGTCATTGAAACTGTGTTTGTTGGAGTGTTTGTGCCAGTTTTACTGTCCTGATGCGCTCAGAATACTTGGATTATTGTGTTTATTGGTTAAGGTTCTTATAGGGACTGCTTTTGCTCGATTTGTTATCTGACTGCTGAGTGATTTCCTGCCTTTATGGAGCCAAAGTCCTGCATGTAGCTCAATCTGCAGGCGTGGTTAACTGTGTCTCACTGAGCAAGAGAAATTTATGACTGCCATAAAAACTAAGTCACACACACACACCCTATGTTGCTCAGCTGATCTGCCTTTACTTTAACCCCAATATAAGATGATACAGAAATGTCAGAATACTCATGTGCACGTGTGTTTGAACTGTATATTTATTCATCTTTTTTAGAATTTTGAGCTCAAGATGAGGCGCGTGTGAACGTTGGGTGTGAATGTACATCTCTGTTTGTGTCTGAGATGTAAGGTGACACTGCCGACCTTCCTGCTGCAGCCTCACCTAAGCTGTGCTGCCATTATTCTCTCCCAGCGGTTTGATGGTTAGACAAGAGTAGCCCTTTACACCTGCCTCAGCACAAGGAGCCTCATCATCCCAAAGACGAGCTTCAGCTGTCAGTCTGACAAAAAAGAAAAAAGATAAAGAGTGAGCCTCTCAGCTTAGTTTCAGGCAGATTCTGAGGAAAATGTGTTACATCAGTGATTGGCCGAAGCGTTTCCTCAAACCCATCCTGCTGCAGCTGAGCCGTCACCAGGTTTGTATGGGACGGTTGGCGTGGGTCGCCCCCTGCGGCGCTGACTGGACCACAGCGGAGGTACGGTGTGTGTCGGTGGGCTGAGTGAAGACGGATGCCACCAGATGTTTGTGCTGTCTTGCAGGTGGAGCTGCTGATTGAAAATGAGGCAGAAAAGGATTACCTGTACGATGTCCTCCGCATGTATCACCAGTGAGTATCAGCTGCCTCTGCTCGGCGTGTGTGTTGAGTTTGTTTTGCACTCATCTTTATGTTCCTTTTGATGTGACTAAAATATTGATGGTAATTGAATGGATTGTGTGCTTAAAGAACTTCAAATACAAAGTGTGTTGACATGTGACCATTAATAGTGCTCCACAAATATATCAAAAGACAGTAAAATCTAAGATATTGCACAATTTTTCTTGGATTACTTCTTGTTCCTCTTTAGCTGCAGGTAAAATAATGCCGAGGCGCATTTCATCTTCTCTCTAGCTTTCATCACAACAAACATTTTCCAGTCAGTTTTGATGCACACAGACCTCCAGTTTAAACTCTCCATCATGGTTTCTGGTGACAGCCTGGTCCTACAGGGCCGGGGAGGTGGCTGGACCGGCAGCAGGAAGAGGAGGGGGAGGCTGCAGGTCTAGGTTTCAATTAATCTTTGTGCAGAGGCAGAGCCCTGTGGCCCCATTGGTTAAGCCTCTGATCAGTTTCCACTGTGCTCCGACAAGCCTGGCCAGTTGTCAACAAAAGCCCTTTTTATGTTCATCCTCCATAAGGGGGCTGAAATGGCACGTATCAATAATTCAACAAGGAGGCCACATGGACAGATTTTGTACAGTAGCTTCTACATTGCTGCTTTAATTGCTGCTTTAGTTGCTCTTTGTCTCTTTTTCAATTGAGAGATGATTGGATTGTCTTTTCTATTAGCATTTAGATATTATGGTTTCATACTCGTGCTGTGGTTTAAAACATAATTGGAGAATTAAATGGGGTGTTGCTATGTAAACAGGTTTGTGTGCTCAGTCCGATTTATTACAGAAATATGGAAATTAGATAAAAACAACTTAGTGTGTGGAGAAAGAAGTGAGCTTGTCAGATCTCTGCAGCCTGTTAATCACGTCTGCTGGAGGTTACAGCTGCCTCTGTTAACACTCCTCCAATAACTTGGTTGGATTTTGGGTGATGTAGGTGCCAAATTTTGACAAGAAAAAAAGAATATGTGGCATAGGTTTAGGATTTATGCTCACATGGCATAACTGATCTTATCTGAGTTTTATAACTTGTAGGGGTTGACTGATTAATGGCCAATTATCAGAGCCGATAGTCAGTTATTTATTGATTTATTTTTGATCATCAGTGTCTTTATTTCTTCTTGCTGATTCCTGATAAGAAATACATTACATTACATCTAAAAACATACTGTTTTGGCTCTGATTGGTTACACGTCATGAGCCTATCGTCAGTGAGTGATAAATGCTAAATTAAGCATGTAAAACATAATCAACAAAAGCATTTCAATCAAGTCGTGATTTTAATTTGCGTTGTTCTAAATTTTCACACAAAGATTTTAATTTTTACTGTGTGAATGTATGTCGAGTCACAGGTCTGTCTCCTGGATTAGTAGTAATTGGTATTAGCCCGGGCTGCAAGGTGGATTGGTGGTTAGCATCGTTGCCTCGCAGCTAGAACGTTGCCGGTTTGCGTCCCGGTGAGGACACCCGGGATCTTTCTGCGTGGAGTCTCCATGTTCTCCCTGTGCAGCGTGGGTTCTCCGGCTTCCTCCCACAGTCCAGAAACATGCTGAGTTTATTGGTGATTCTAAATTGTAGTAGAAAAGCCTCTGAACAGTACCTGTGGGAATCAGATCTGAACAGCGCAGTGCTCCTGGGTGAATAAATCCTTGGACAATTGTGTAGATGACATAATAATCAACAAACCAAATAGACAAGTCTACCATATTGACATGTGTTGGCCAATAGGGAAACATTTTTACTTTCTTAACAGCATCTTTAGCACATTCTTCCCGGCAAAGCCCTGTTTCTTGTCCCAGTGTGTAACATAAACTCACGCTTACTCATATTGTGCAAAATACCTTGTGGTTTTTTTTCTCTTTTGTGTCCACCACTCTTTTGTGTAGAATGGTGTAAAGCTAACTGTAATCCACCTTTCACCCGCTCAGGTCGATGGACTTGCCGGTGCTGGTGGGCGACCTGAAGCTGGTCATCAACGAACCGAAGCGCCTCCCCCTGTTTGACGCCATCCGGCCTCTCATTCCGCTCAAACACCAGGTGGAGTACGACCTGCTCACCCCCAAGAGGTCACGGTGAGTACGACGTGGCAGTTTATAGCCTGTAGCTTGTCTGTACTATGTTTTCTGAAGCTCACACGTTCTGTTTTATATCTTTCTCTCTGTCCTGGTTGTGCAGGAAGCTGAAAGAGGTGCGTTTGGATCGGACACACCGGGACGGTCTGGGTCTGAGCGTCCGAGGAGGACTGGAGTTCGGCAGCGGTCTTTATATATCGCAGATCGTCAAAGATGGACAGGCCGGCAATGTTGGCCTTCAGGTGTGTGTCTTTGAGTCAGAAGTAATGTTTTCCTTTTATTACCGTTTCTTTTTCTATGGAGTAGTGACAGTGCCAAATTACAAAAATATGTCCATAAAAGAATATTAAAATAAAAATGGAAATAAAAAGAAGAATAAGTGAAATAAAAAATAATGTGGAAATATAAAGCAATTTTAATCGAAAATGAATCCATAAAGGAAAAGGCTAATAAAAGTTGAAATAAAAAGAAGAAGAAATAAAATAGTAATTATTTAAAAAAATATTTTTATTAATTTTTATTTGTGATATATTTTTTAATTTTTAATTTTTTTGTAATTTTTTTTACATGTATTTATTTTAGATTTTTTTAATTAATTTTTTTTTATAAGGAAATATGCACAGAAAAATGTTTGCAGTAGGAATGTCGTTTTTCTGTGCATATTTCCTTTGCTTTTAAAATGACATTATAAAAAAAACCCCAAAAAACAAAAACAATAATAATTGTAATTTGGCACTCTCATTGCTCCATACTTATCTATAGAACAAAATAAGCTGTTCATATGAAGAATCATTATTTTGTCTTTATACCATCAGCATTACATTTAAAAATACTCGTCTTAATAAAACATACAACTTTCATTCAGTTGCATAGCATATGTGTATACAAACAGTGTTTTAGTAGATTTTAGTTTTTTAAATAAGTTTTTGTGTATGATATGCCATATATTCAATATATTTATTAATGTGTAGACTGTTCTACTGTCCTGTTTGTTAAATGCTCATTTTTTGTCATGTCCTGTGTCGGTGTTGATGTCATAATACGAGGATCCACTAGGTGGGGCAAAGCACCATAAAACTCTGTCACTGTGTGTCACCAGTAGTCCTCCTTTGTGCAGGTTCACATTATATAAAAGAGATTGCTCCTGTCATGACAGAACAAAGTTAACGTCCACTTGTTCAGATTGATGCTGTAATCCAGATCAGACCTTACATCGCTCTGTATTCAGTGCTGGTTCATAATGTCACCCCTTGAGTTATTATCAGTTTAAAATACGATGTCTTAAACGTATTCAACAGCTGGTCTCAGTTACTTTGTCAAAATTAGCATTTAAATTGAGACTTAGCAGAAGTAAAGAAAATGATAGTGTAGTTGTATGAGTGCAAACAGAAAACATAAGGGTCACCTCCAAGGCTGGATTACTGGTCAGACAGCGCCAACATGGACTCCAATGTCCATCCACAGGGGTCAGGTTTACTCTATGGTATCAAGGTTGAGGTACAACAATATGTGACCCAGTAAAGCCCAATATAAACCGAAATGATAAGGGTTTATATCTTTACCTACTTTTGAGCTGAATCTTAAAAAGGGGGTCAGTATTGGCCCATATGAGCCTCCCTCCTGAGGTAACATGACCCTGGCAAAGGCTTGATGTACGCACAGTCTGTGATGTTTTTAATAAATCTAAAATGTAATCAAAATTTTGACAAGGACCTATAATTAGAGTGGCTGTTTTTACTAGAAAACAGTTATTTTTCAGCTATAAATTGTAACTCGGTCTTAATGTGCCAGAGACCAAAGCTTCAAAACTAATTAACTGTAACTGTCACAGTGACTGTAAATCTTTTTAACGAGGAAGAACATCATCTAATAGATGTAAACATCCAGATGTAAATCAAACCAACCAGTAGATCGTACTGTGTGCAGTATATTCAGCAGATAAGGATGTAAATGTCAGAGCAGCAGTAGCCTCATCTGGGATCCAGACTGATATATTACAATCGGATGTGTCATCTATAATTCCCCCTCTTGTACTGATTTATAGGTTGGCGATGAGATTGTGCGCATCAACGGATACTCCATCTCCTCCTGCATTCACGAGGAGGTCATCAGCCTCATCAAGACGAAGAAGATCGTGTCGCTCAAAGTTCGGCGTACGTCAAACACAAACTCAACATAAAACTGAATATACTTTAATATCAGTATTTGTTTTTCATTTATGTGTTTTTTTTTCTGTGCAGATGTGGGCATGATCCCAGTGAAAAGGTAAAAATTTTGCTTTACATTTACTGTTTGATGAACAGTTGAGTGGGAAGTGATTTTGGAAAAACCACCAAAATAGTAACGTCTAACAAAAAAACATCAACAAAAAAAAAGCTGTTTTATATCGTCCAATAAGTTCAAGGCCTAGTCCACATATACACGGAGATTTTTTAACTCTTTCCCCTTTGTTTGCACGCATGAAAATGCAAAAACACAACTGTCAAGAGCTCATTAAAACAACAGATGCTAACATAACCTTAAAGCCATGTTGGTGAGTAGAATCCTGAAAACTCCAGTAGGCTACCAACAATGATTCTGATTCTGACACCTCTGATCCTAAATATAGTAGAAGAATAAAAGCATGTCTGTGCGTAAACATGTAAAAAATCCTGTTAGCATGGTTAGCATCGGTACTACTTTGACTGTGTCTGCCATTGCTCAAAATTGCCTCATATAGACAACGGAGCTCACTCAAACACCACAAGCCGAGTTTGCACACTTCAAACTGCTTCCGAATGTCCGAAAGGGGATTTCCTAAAGATCTAAAAGGCCAAAATGCACATAAAAAACTGTTTTAAGCAATGGTCGTGTACGTGTGCATGAAGCCGGAGCCTATAGGAAGAGCATCCTGAACATCCTATATAGCCGCAGAACACGTCTCGGTGAACTCGAACAACTCCTTATAAGGCTCACGACCCTCTTCATATGGTCGGTCTCTGACCTCTAACGGAAAGCGCATGTGGTTCAGCACGCACATGTCCCGTCAGTCACACTGCTGGAAGCCATGAATAAGCTTGAAATGAAAACGTGTAACAGTACAAATGAGAATAAAGAATGAGTTTTGCTTCCACAGACTGTTATTGCTGCGCAAACTGTCTTCTCTTTATATGTTCTTGTTTCTGCAGCTCGTCAGATGAACCCCTCAAGTGGCAGTTTGTCGACCAGTTTGTGTCCGAGTCGGGGGTAAGAGACAGATGTAGTCTCACGAGTTGTTGTTGCACAGCCAGCACACGTACTTTGTTTTATTCCGTCTTTCTGCTCTGTCCCAGGAGAAGAAGAGCAGCGTGGCGGGCTTGGCGTCCATCGGAGGAAAAGAGATTAAGGAGAAGAAGGTGTTCCTCAGTCTTGTGGGCACTAAGGGAATGGGCATCAGCATCTCCAGCGGGCCAACACAGAAACCTGGTATTTACATCAGCAATGTCAAGCCGGGATCCCTTTCTGCAGAAGTTGGACTTGAGGTGATTATTTCTAAAATGTAAAAAATGACCTTAAACAAATCATGAAACTTCCTGCTGTGAACTGTGTCTCTAATTAAAATGTAGGTGGGAGACCAGATCGTGGAGGTGAACGGAGTGGATTTCACCAACCTGGACCACAAGGAGGTGAACTTAGTTTTTTAAGTGGCAGCTGGAGAATCACCTTGTTTTGGTGATTGGATGTATTCTTGTATTTGTCTTCTATAAAAACCCTCCTGTAAAAAAAAAAGTGTTTTAAATTCTGCCTCTGATGCCAGTAGAAGTGAAGCCTCCCGTCGCTGCCAGTGTTTGTCCTCAGCTTAACTCGCTGAGCTGCAGAACCACAGAAATAAATCCTCCCTGTGGCTGATGAGGCAAACAAAGCTTGCAGTATTTACCAGAACCAGTATTTGTCTGGAGTTGGGGATAATTCACAGCCCATTAAATACACATAACACAGACTTAACAAAAAGTCTTTTAAACAAATGGGTTAATTTATTCATTTGTGTTTTTTTTTCAGTAATTGTTTTCAAAAATTAAGATTATTTAAAGTCTTTTGTTTTTATATTTCTAGGCTGTGAGAGTCCTGAAGAGCAGCAGGAGTCTGACTATCACAGTTCTGACAGGAGCTGTAAGTACACTTGTGTCTAATGATACTGTAATGATAGTAGTGAGTATTTAAAACTAGATTTTTTTTTTGCTCTTATCTCATATAAGTCTTGTTTTTTTCTTATTAAACTCATGCAGTGACTTGAATTCACTCAAAGTCACCGAATTTAGCTCCAGAGTTTGAGATGCATATGAGACTATTGTGTCTTTAAAATAATAATATTAGACGGTGACACACGTTTTTCTTAAATTTTGAGTCTTTCAAGTTAAAGGGAATCATTAATATGTTAAATCACAAAGAAGTTGATGACCTTCTACGCCATAACTGTTGTGAGCGTGGATGACCGGGATAACAGGACGATGTTGAACCTGGAATCTGGAAAAAAGGTGCTTAATTTCCTCTGAAGCTACTCAGAAGACAATGTGCTTCTGTCAGAAAGTAAAACACTTAAGGGCTCATCTGTCATGCAACACAAAGCTTGTGTTTCCACTCCTTTGCGTTCCTGCACAGCAAAGAATAATGTGCCTATTTGTTTTGGAGACGTCACATTAACTCGGCCGTGCCTCAACCCGGCCGTCTGCAGGAGCAACATTCATCACATTTACCATTCGTCACTCGGCAGGTTGTTTGCTCCTGGACTCAGCGCTGAAGACTTTGTGACGGAGACAAGCCGTCCCCTCTTGTTTACTGTTTTCCTTGGTGGCTGTCTGATGTATTTACCTGTGACTAAGCCTTTGTTTGAACGTGCATAAACAGGGAAACCTGCAAGTAAAGTATGCATGTGACAGTAGACAGTGTGTTTCTGGCAGTAGTAGTTTATAGGCTTCTGTATTTACATATATGAAAACATTGAAATTCTGTCATATTTTCATGTAAACATGTAAATAATCAGAAACTCTGATGTAGAAACACTAAAACACAAGAAGCTTTGACGTGTCAACATATGCCTCAAGTTTCACTCAGTAGCACTGCACAGTGGGAAGAAGCACAGCGTCAGAACTAAAGTGTCAGAAGTCAAATTATTATTCAAAGCAAAGCCCAGCTTTCTTAGCGCCTAGTCATGACTGGACTGGAGATTTCTAAGTGGACAGTGCATGAAACTGTAAAGCACTGGATGAGTTATCCAGAACCATCAGGCAGACCAGAAGTGTCGACACCATCAGAGGATTAGCACGTTAGGCTTCGTCCACCAAGAGATGAAAAGCAACTTCATCACAGATACAGAATTAATTACAGAAAAAACACAAAGAAGATGTCTAGTAGTGATGCTGAAGGATGAGTAGCATCTCTACACCACTTCTGAGGAGGGGAAACGAGATTGGTTGACTAAGGCATGCTAGAATTTCACGGTGGATGATGAATTAAATTTTGAGAATTATGGCAATAACAGAAGGGTGTATATAGGGAGACCAGCAGGAGAAAGAAAGGCCCCACATTTCATCAAACCCACAGTGAAATGTTGTGCTGAGAATATTAAGATCTGGGGGTGTTTTGCCTCCTCTGGATTAGAACATGCTGATGGATTCATGCTGCAGCAGGATAATGAGCCCAAACACACTTATCATGAACTTCCCTCCGCAGTCACCTGACCTCAACCCTGTTGAACGTTTCACTTGAAGACTGAGAAACTATTCGTGACATGAAGAAGCTGTGGTGCAATGTGTTTTCAGGTGCTGCACAAACTTGTTGTCATCGAAACAGAAGGAGGGCATTTTTCAGAGATTGAATTGAAACTTTAACAAATAGAAGCATCTAGTAGAACCCCACTGTGTGGAGTAATCACATATGAGTTGCTTACACGCTAAACAGGAGCGACTCTGAGGCTTCAAAGATGTCAAACTGACATCTCTTTTCTATCCCTGGTCCGGGAGGCTGGTTAGGACTTGCCTGCTAGTCTCCAGAGCCAAAAAAAAAAGTTTGAGGACCCCTGCTGCACATCATGCGTTTCCCTGATTATCGTTGTTGTCACCTCTCAGGGCAGCGAGCTGTTCATGACAGATGAGGAGCGTCTGGCGGTGGAGGCCCGCAGGGAGCTGGAGCGGCAGGAGCTGATGCACCAGAAGCGGGTGGCACTGGAGACCAACAAAATCATTAAAGAGCAGCAGGAGAAGGAGAGACAGTGAGTGAACAACACACGACTTGTAATTACCCTTGACTTGACACGAGACGTGTGGGAGTTATGTCGTCTGCCTCGTAATGCAAGTTGCTGACTTCACTGAAGCTAGTTAGGAAGATTGGTGCCTCTTGCTTTGATCTGACTCAGTTTAAAAAGATGTTGTCACTCAATGTTTAGATCACAATTTATTGCAGTAAATCTCCACAGGGGAAAGTCCTACTAATGCTGACACTGCTCAGATGTTTTTTTTTAATATCATATATAAGACTTTTTATAACATAAAAGATGTTCATTGAACTACTGAATCAGAAAATGACACGAAAACATTTCTTAGCTTCGTTCTTCTTTACCTTTATGGAGTGTTTAAGTGTCTCAGCTGAATATTTTTGCTTTAATAGC